TTCTGCCTTTCTAGGGAGTTTTTCCTAGCCACCGTGCTTCTACATCTGCATTGCTCGCTGTTTGGGGTTTTAGGCTGGGTTTCTGTATAGCACTTTGTGACATCTGCTGATGTAAAAAGGGCTTTATAAATAAATGTGATTGATTGATTGAGTGATTGTTTTGTTTTTTCTGATAGTAGATATAACATTGAAGATTTGACATTGTTTTAAAGGTAGAAACTCAACATATTTTATACAGGGTTTGTCTATGTTGAAATTTGGTTACCAGGGTGACATAATCCTGTGGTTGAAATTTCACCATCAAAACAACAGTTTTGAGGTTTGATTACTTTTTTGTAATCAATCAATGCATTTTACACATAGATTCCACGTCACAGTACATTGACAAATTACACTGAAACAACGTTGATTCAACCAGTTTGTGCCCAGTGGGTCATCTCTGGGTTTTACAGTGCATCCCAATCACCATCCAATCACCTGTGGTCCTCTGTAGCTCAATTGGTAGAGCATGGCGCTTGTAATGCCAGGGTAGTGGGTTCTATCCCCGGGACCACCCATATGTAAAAATGTATGCACACATGACTGTAAGTCGCTTTGGATAAAAGCGTCTGCTAAATGGTATATTATATTATATGCAACACACTACAAAATCCTGCTCTGACGTTTACTTATCTATTTTTCACATAACATGTATTTTTCTTAAAACTGCATTGTTGGTTAAGGGCTTGTAAGTAAGCATTTCACTGTATTCGGCGCATGTGACAAATACAATTTGATTTGATTTGATTACTGTGGTCTATTGGTAAATTAATCTGTGCTCAGTTCCTGTACGCATAGGAACATGAGATCAACAGCTATATCTTTTCAATTAAACCTGACACCAATCATCCACTAGTTGAGGTTTCTGGGCTACCTGGGTAGGTTGTAGAGAGGAGCCATTCTAAGGCAGGCCACCACAGCTCTCTTCCTCTGTTTTGATAACACCTTGTGCCACACTGCCTTTTTCCTCTGGGGATGCTCTACCTATGGACAAAGGCAACTGTTCAGATTCAGATGACGATCAAATTGCATACTTTTCACAAGGTGTTTTGTTACACAACAATAGCCAAGTCTAAATAGCTTTGGGAGCCAGAGAGTAGCTTACTTCTGTGATTCAAGGCTCTACTAAAAGCTCTACTAATAGCATATAATAGGGTAAGAGAACAGCCTTCTCTAAGCCCACCTGGTCCAGGTGGTAAAGCACGCGAGCAATGTCCAGGACCCTTTCTACTGTCCTCAGAGGGTCCGAGGTGTCCCCTGTGGGGCCTGGGAAGTCCCTGAACAGGACATCCTGCCACCGAGCCCCTGGAGCCTCCCGCTGGTACAACACAGAGAGCAGACTGTTAGCACAATCTTTACTGGGACTTGGCGCATACACATTCATTGTTTCCCCTATATGCATTTAGCAGCCCCACTGCAAAATAAGTAAATCATTGTAATTATAATGAAGTGTAAATGTATGCCCCAGGAAGGCCCCATCCGCTGCCTCCCCGCAGGACAACATCAGTGTGTTAAATAGACTTATTTAGGAAAAGTCAAGGACAGGACATGACTTGAAAAATGGCTAAGATATTACATTTTTGTATTCACATGATGCTCAAAAGACATAATTGGCGGTTCTAGTTCATGGGGTTAGATTACTGGAGCTGATCATGTGTGTTTTTTTACATGGATGTATTCAGTTCATTTACGTCATATGAGAATTGAAGTGGCAAAAATAGCATATTTTTAATAGCTACATACGATGTGGGCAAGTTAATAGATGGTTTGGACCTATGGTACCTGTGTGTTCTGTGTGCTATGAGTACGACAAGGAAAACCATGGGGTTTAAATCATATGTACTATGACTGAAATTACTTTGCTCTGAAGATGTAGCAGGCCATTACGAATGCTCTCTCGAATCTCGTCCTCTGTGTCCTTCTGTGAAAAGCAATCACCTGTCATTATTAACGATAGCAGATTGGAGACACAAAACATGGGGTTTGCAGGTTGCAGTTACATGACATGAAGTTCCAAAACATATTGGAGCAGCATCATGCATAGACATGTCATTTACATGCTGCACTCACTCCCTGACAGGTCGTCATTGTAAATACGAATTTGTTCTTAACTGACTTACCTGTATAAATAAAGGTGAAATAAAAAATGACATTGTAGTTCATTGTGCAGTGAAAGATGAAAGTGTTTGTTTAGTACTCCACATTCCATACCTGAGTGAAGCGACTCTTGACCAGTGTGATAAGGCCGTGGTCTGCTGGGGAACACACACTCAGTCCCACAGGAAGCAATCTCTTCAGGGAGGCTACGATGAGAGAGGTGTGTGTGGAATAGCGGTCCCCCTTTCGCTTCATCTTCCTCCTCTCCTGGTCCGACACCTGCTCATTGAAAACCATGAATAGAAATACATAGTGGTGGTTGACTTATAGTACAATCATTCCCTTTGCATGGACAGAATGTAAATGATTTATTCATATGTTTTACGCAACCACAAAGCACACATATAACAGACACCCAGTGCAGTTTGTGGTAGTTAAGAAACAAATCTGTAAGGTTCTCACCTTGGACATTTTGTGATTGTTTTTATTGACCAAGAAAGCCATGTTGTTGATCTCATTCTGGACCACATAGTTCTGTTCCTCCCATTTGAAGTTCTGCAGTAGCAAATCAAATGAATTACAGGTGAGAACATCATTAAGATGTGAGGCAACATCCAAATCTTTGTTATTTTACTCACGTGAGACTTGGCCCAGAATATGAAGATCTCTGCCACCATGCCGAACATCTTCTCAGCATCATGGTTCGGTTCCTGTAGCCAACTTGCTCTGAAACAACAACATGAGAGAGCTGTAAACAAAATGCATGAACACATTCTACACTGAACAAAAATCCCTGTTAGTGAGCATTTCTCCTTTGCCAAGATAATACATCCACCTGACAAGTGTGGCATATCAAGAAGCTGATTAAACAGCATGACCATCATACAGGTGCACATTGTGCTGGGGACAATAAAATGGCACTCTAAAATGTGCAGTTTGGTCACACAACACAATGAAAAAGATTTCTCAAGTTTTGAGGGAGAGTGCAATTGGCATGCTGAATGCAGGAATGTCCACCAAAGCTGTTGCCAGATAATTGAATGTTCATTTCTCTACCATAAGCCGCCTCCAACGTCTTTTTAGAGAATTTGGCAGTACGTCCAACCGGCCTCACATCCGCAGACCACGTGTATGGCGTCGTGTGGGCGAGCGGTTTGCTGATGTCAACGTTTTGAATAGAGTGCCCCATGGTGGCCGTGGGGTTATGGTATGGGCAGGCATAAGTTACGGACAACGAACACAATTGCATTTTATCGATGGCAATTTGAATGCACAGAGATACCGTGACGCGATCCAGAGGCTCATTGTCGTGCCATTCATCCGCCACCATCACCTCATGTTTCAGCATGATAATGCACAGCCCCATGTCGCAAGGATTTGTACACAATTCCTGGAAGCTGAAAATGTCCCAGTTCTTCCATGGCCTGCATACTCACCAGACATGTCACCCATTGAGCATGTTTGGGATGCTCTGGATCTAAGTATACGACAGTGTGTTCCAGTTCCCGCAACTTCGCACAGCCATTGAAGAGGAGTGGGACAACATTCCACAGGCCACAATCAACAGCCTGATCAACTCTATGCGGAAGAGATGTGTCGTGCTGCATGAGGCAAATGGTGGTCACACCAGATACTGACTGGTTTTCTGATCCACACCCCTACCTGTATTTTTTTAGGTATCTGTGCTCCCGAGTGATGTAGCGGTGAGGCACTGCATCTCAGTGCTTGAGGCATTACTACAGACCCCCTGGTTCGATTCCAGGCTGTATCACAACCGGCCGTGATTGGGAGTCCCATAGGGCGGCGCACAATTGGCCCAGCGTCGTCCGGGTTTGGCCGGTGTAGGCCGTCATTGTAAATAAGAATTTGTTCTTAACTGACTTGCCTAGTTAAATAAAGGTAAAATAAAAAAATTATAAATAAACAGATGCATGTCTATATTCCCAGTCATGTGAAATCCATAGATTAGGGCATAATTAATTTATTTCAATTGACCGATTTCTTTATATGAACTCTAACTCAGTAAAATCTTTGAAATTGTTAACATGTTGTGTTTATATTTTAGTTCAGTATAATATTGTCAGAATCTCAGATGTAAAAATCTAAGGCACTGCATCGCAGTGTTGCGATATCACTACAGCCTGGGGTTCAATACCAGGCTGTGTCACAACCGGCCGTGACCGGGAGTCCCATAGGGCGGCGCACAATTGGCCCAGCGTCGTCCGGGTTAGGGAAGGGTTTGGCTGGGGGGGCTTTACTTGGCTCATTGCGCTCTAGCGACTCCTTGTGGTGGGCCTGGCGCCTGCAAGCTGACTTCAGTTGTCAGTTGAACAGTGTTTCTTCCGACACACTGGTGCGGCTGGCTTCCGGGTTAAGCGAGCGGGTGTTAAGAAGCAGTGCGGTTCCGGAGGATGCAAAACTTGACCTTCCCCTCTCCCGAGCCCGTTGTGGAGTTGCAGCGATGAGACAAAATTGTAATTGGATTGCAATTGGATATCACAAAATTGGGGGTAAAATTACAAAAAAATCATAAGAAAACACCACTTTTCATGCCAAAATATAACCTTGAATGTTAGTCATTGGTGGCATGTTGATACATTACTGGTTTGTTATGTATTCAATAATGATCAGTGAATATTATAATGTTCCCTCCCATATCTCCATCCATCCCCTGGGCAGAACGCCTTACCTATTGTAGTCCACAAATGGAATGAGGACAGGGTAAAAGGCGTAAAGGTCTCGCACCAGCACAATGAATTTCTCCTGAATCAATAGCTCCGCCTCAGACGCATCGGCCCTCCCCTCAGCCTTCATCTGCTCCTCCTCCTGAAGCACTGACTCCGCCCTCTTCTTCAGTTTCTCCATCAGAGGCAGGAAGTGGCTCCTCAGCAACTGGGGGTGGGCCTGGCAGATGATTGGCTGAGAGAAAACTGAAAGGAAGGATTCCAATTAATTTAGTCATTCAGCAGATGCTTTTATTCAGAGAATCTGACAATTAGTGCTTTAGAATGAGAGAACTGATTGATACAATCATGATGACATGAGTGGAAGGAATGTCTAGATGAAACAACTAGGAAATTAGGCCTGAAAGTGTTTAAATGAACACTGTTTCATGGTGCCACAAACAATGAGTAATAGTGAGTGATTGAGGCTATGAGGCAAACATATGGACTGAAGACAACTGGATCCTGTGCAGGGCTGTGATGGGAACTAATATATCATCCTTAGGGTGAACAGTAGACGCAGATGAAAAAGCAGTATAGGGCTACCTGCCAGGCGCTTCATCCAGTCTCCCTGGCCTGTTCCCAGGTGGTTGTGGATGATGCGGAGGATGTTGCCCAGCAGGGTGCTGGCATGCTGGGAGGTGAGTGAGGTGCAGAACGGGCTCTCCAGTTGGCCCTCGGGGCCATGCTGCCACCAGCGGGACACGTAGCTGCAGAGCAAGGGCAGGGTGACCTCGGTGACATGGCTGTACTGGGCCTGGAGCGTCCCTGAGCCTGACCCTGCCAGCTCCTCCACCTCCCCCAGAAGCTGCTGCAGAGATGGCAAGAGAGGACACACCTCCTCCACCTTGTCTGGAACTCCCACATCTGAAACAGAGGAGAAGGGACAGCTTCAAATGCCTCAGCTACACGCTTTGAAAAAAAGGTTGTTTGTGAAAAGGCTCTACAAGAAACCCAAATGAGTTCTACCTGGAACCAAAAAGGTTTCTTCAAAGTTTTTTTTTCTAAGAGTGCAACTAAATAGAGTTAATTAAAAATTAAAAATAGCATGTGCAGTGAAGCACAGTGTGCAGTGTGTGAGAGGGTAGTAGGTGTGTGTATGGTTACCCTCTCGCTCTCTGGGGCTCATGGTGTTGTAGATGGAGTAAGGGTTGTCCTCATTCAGAGCTGGCTCCAGGAAACTCACAGGGAAAGCCCCTGACAGCGCTGCCAGACAAGCTCCTGCTGATGGTCTCTGCCTGCAAACACACACAAACAGATTGCTGACAGCTCTGGACAGCACTGTCTCCCACACTCTACGCCATGTGCATGACAACACAGCCATATTAAGCCACGGAGAGAGAGGAATATTGATGTGTACAGAGTCGTGCATACTTTATGATTGTATTAATCTGGAGCATATACAAACATATACATTAACTGTCACATACTGGAATGTTACATCACACAAAGCTAAATGACAAAAAGTACCCCTCCGCGTAGAAGCTTTTGCTGATGCCAAGTGAGTGGAGGCTGTTGAGGATCTTATAACAGGACACCTGGACACTGTCCACTGTAAAGGAGAAGGTGAGACTCACTGAATAAATCCCTCTGAAGCTTAGATTTCTAGACAACTTCCTGAGTGTTGGCTGGTGGCTAGAGTGTGAAGGCTAGAGGGAAGTTGATATGTAGAGACAGAGAGGGCTCACAGTGGGTGAGATTTGATTAATGTAATAAATAATTAGTGAATAGCCGTAGTGATCACTGGCAGAGAGAATGTGCCACCTCGCCATGTAAATGACTGAGATTTAATGAGATGAGGTATGGAAGCTGGCTGAGAGGGGAGGGCATCTCTGAATTATTTAAGAGGTCTTAAATTCAGCTGCTCACTGCCATCTCACCCGCTACCAGACATATGGAGGACATTGACAATGTACAGTATGAGGGAAGATGGGCTCCTGTGGACACCGTAGTTGGAAGACAAGAGGTTGTGATTACAGATTGACTTGGGTGATTTTATTCACACTCTATTGATACTGTGGGTTTTGAGAGTGACTGAGTCATACAGCCAGCAGATTAGCATTTTTCGTCATGAATCTTGTTCTGGAGGCAGCTCTGCAGCGGTCACTAGCTAGCACAGCCACAAAGTCATACAATCAGATTTTAAACCTAATCCTAACCATAACCATATATATATATATATTTTAACCCTAACCTTAACCACACTGCTAGCCCCAATGCCTAACCTTAAATTAAGATCAAAAAGCTAATTTTAGTTTTCATGAAGTTTTACAATAAAGCCAATTTTGACATTGCAGCTGGCCTATCTAGCGGAAAATCGCTCAGTTCTGCCTCCAGGACAAGACTCATTCGAATAAACGTCAACCGGGAAAATACTTGAGTCAAGACATCCATTTATCCCACCAGTAACCATAAATACCTTACTCAATTTTGAGAGGATCAATGATTATTCTGATGTAGTGCCTCCCCAAACTGACAAACTCTCATAATAATACCATATCATTCTACCTCCCAGGATACAGAACATGAGCCACACGTACCCAAGAGGTCTTCTCCATACTGGTTGTGGCTGAGGTGTTCAAACATGGCGGTGAGAGTGGGCAGCAGGGCGGTGGTGGTATAGTCTAGGATCTGGGCCACCCCTCTGGACTGAGTCCTGCTCTGGGTCATAGAGAGGTTCTCCACGGTCATCTCCAGGTCCACCGCTGCAGCCTCGAAGAAGGACCGTAGCGAGACCCTGGCTGATTCTGGAGCAGTCTTCATCAATGTCCTGAAGGAGGTTTCCCATATTATTGAATGAATTGAATGCCATTATTGGATCGTGTTCCACATCTGGTCTAAATTAGCAATATACTGTTTATAATGTTAAAGAGTATAATTTGCAAACATGAATGAAGAGCATTTTTATATAGTATTTTTCTTCATCAAATACTTCTGCTCACTAAAGAAAGAGTACTACACATGAGTCCTCTAGCTATTGGCAACACTATTTGTTCATTTATCAACTGAATCCTTTATCTAAGCAGGTGAGTTCCATTGAGATAGCAATCTTACGAGGTAGCCCTGGCACCAACAGTGATACCAACAGATATCAGATATCATCAAGGTATCAGTGCCTGAGTGACAACAGCTCAGCTGACATGGGTAACAGTGAGACCGTGTTATCTACCTGACATCCAGAGACTGGGCCAGTATGAGAAGACAGGTGACGATGGAAGGTGCATCACTCCCTGAGGAAACACACACAGGGGAAATCAAAATCATAGGGATCATAATCTCATAAACTGCTGATAGGATCTGGGGCTTAGGTGTGTGGAGACGGATAGGTTATGTGTCTATGTACACACTAAAAACAAATGGTTCTATATAGTGCCAAATAAAGGTTATTTGGCTTGAAACCATAGCGGAACCCTTTTTGGTTCTATATGGAACCTTTTTTTTAAGGTTCTATAAAGAATCATGCTCATAAGGTTCTAAATGGAACCTGTATGGTGCTACAAAGAACCATTTCATAAGGTTATATAAAGAACCATTAAAAAAGGTTCTAAATACCGCCAAAAAAGGGTTCCACTAGTTACAACCCTTTTTAGGGCTATATAGACCCCTTTTTATGGTTCTTTATAAAACCTTTATGGAGAATGGTTCTATAAAGAACCTTTCTCAATCTCAAAGGTTCTTTGTAGAACCATTCAGGGTTTTTTATTCTGGTGTAATAGCCATATTATATTGTTAAAATTACAGGTTTTATTATTGTGTTAATTAACAAGTTGAATCAGGTGTGCTAGCTCTGGAACAGCTTGGGGTCCCTGAGGAGAGAATTGAGAACTACTGACTTAGTCAACGGTTCTCAATTGACACAAGGCCATACATGAGTCTTTCACAAGACACCGTCACTGGCCATAGTCATATATAACATGTAATAGCATAACACAACAGATTAAATCAACTGGAATGACACTCTCACTCATGGTTGCACAAAAAGACCTGTGAACAAACCATGCCCCAAAATATCAGAATAAGCCACCGGCCCTACATTATAATTATTACTAAAAGAGGAAAGAACCCTTTTTTGAACTGCAAAGAACCATTGAAGGGCTCGAAGGGTTCTTTGGGTCAGTATGGTTCCACATAAAACCATCACCCTTCCCAAATAACCCTTGAGGAACCCTAATTTGCTATTGTATATGTAGATGAACGCAAACAGTAGCAATATGAAAACATAAACAGGGACATGAGATGTAAACAGATCTTAAGTCAATAAGCTTCATGTTAACTTTATACCATCCTTACCAAACAGAGATATCCTGTGTCTGACAAGAGCTCCCAGTTTGCAGAACAGGCTGAAGATGGGAGGACAAGAGAGAGGGATGGAGAGAAGAGGAATAGAAAATGAAATATGTTGAGAATGCAAAAGGTAGAGAAGACAGAGGACACCTCTATGTTCCTGGGCACATGGGCATATTTAAAGCCAAGTTGGGTTAAATGCCCCTTTTTTAAAGTGCATAGACAAGACAAAAACAGTTATAAAGCTAAATGCTGCTAACGTTATTATTGTAATATGTTATTAACCGATACCTGGTGACCATCTCCTTCTCCTTATTGGAAGCGTGACCTCCGTTGCCTCGGGAGCTGGCTGCAGTGGACAGGAAGTAGAGGTGATGGTTCTTCAGGTACTGCTCCAGCAGGGGTAACGCCACCTGTGGGAGACAAGTGTTTTTAGGCAACTCTAACCCAATAGACTTAGCACACTATTGTGGTCCTCTGTAGCTCAGCTGGTAGAGCACAGCGCTTGTAACGCCAAGGTAGTGGGTTCGATCCCCGGGACCACCCATACACAAAAAAAATGTATGCACGCATGACTGTAAGTCGCTTTGGATAAAAGCGTCTGCTAAATGGCATATTATTATTATTATTATTATTTATTTGTGTCAGCACACCAATATAGACTATTCATATCACTTTATCAATGTAGTTTGGTAAATTGACCCTGTTTTAACACATTGTGTCTGTTTTGAGTTATTTCCTAAGGAAAAGTCATAGTTGTTGTGCTGTATTTGTTGCTATGTCTTAGCATTGATCTCTGTGTGGAGAGAATCAGTGGTCCCATCAGTGGGAATTAGCCCTTTTATTTTCTGTCTCTTTACAGGGAGCGTGGGAGGCTTAATCAATGGTCTGATGGCAATCGACATGCCCACATGGGTTTCCAAAATGGCTATATCAATTTCTGGAGCCACAGTAGCTTTCACTTACTGGGTTGCCCATGGCAACCTCCCAACAAAACGAATTAGCCTACATCAGTGTGTGGTCGTAAATAAATTAATAATAGCCAGAGCCATATCAAGCAGGACAACAGAGTGGAAATTGTTCTTTCACATCCACCTACAGCACATGCCCATCTCAGTTGTTGGACTGGAAAATAAAAGGGGTTTTACGTTTACAAACCTTGCTGAAAAAGTCAATCTGCTGCTGGTGGGGAGCCTCTACTTTTGCCATCTGACCTCTTGCCTGCATAACCTCTGAGGAAAAACACAACACATCCAATTACATGCTATGTGTTGTAAGAGATGAATGAAACTTCTGACGTCACTTATAAAAGGAAAGATGGCTGATGCTATATGGCTACCATCCTTACCCAGCTCCTGCATGTGTTCTTGGGCCTCCTCTGTGTATGAGAGGAGCTGCTGTAGGAAGGTGTAGGCAAAGCGGTTTGCTATGGCTGGTGAATCCATCTCCGCTGCCTTTCTGTCCCTGTGCAGAGATGCAGCACTGTGATGTCATTAAGAAGTCAGGAAGACAGATTGTCTGGACACTATGAGGCTAATGGAGGTTTACTGTATACATTTGAGCAAGGCACTTAACCTAAAACGTTTCATTAAATATCGAACTGTTAAGGATGCACGACAATGATTAACCCCTTCCACTCTTGGGAATTGGCCTATATGGATAGGGCTACATTGAAAAAAATATGGTAGCAATTAAAAAAGAACAGTTTGGAGATTATGGGAAAATTATTAGACTAAAGGTGAGGACACAACTGTTCACCTGACACAAGACTGAATCCAAACATTACACTGTTGATTTTACATTTACTGTACTTTTCACCACTGAAAATACTCTGGATACATTCAGTAACATGATAAGAATATTATTGGAAAAGGGTTTGAGTGAGAGGTCTAACTGGGGTTTCCAAGTGGCCACACACCTCTCCAAAGTGTCCACAGTTCCTAAGTAATTTCAATGCACTTTTATGACTCAAAGAAGAGTCTTCAACTATAAGGTGATTTTCTTTTAGCTCTCCTAGCTGTGCCTTTGAGGAACAAGAGCAAAAACACTTGGTAGTTATTTTCTTTGGAACACAACTCTGCATCCCCACCTTCACACAATTAGTGTTGTTGTTTACGCAATCCAAAAACTGTCCATTATAAATCTGGGTCAGGTGGGCCTAATTTGAAAGCTTGTTCTATTGCCTACGTGACTAGCTAAATTATAAAATACGACCTTATATTGTTAGTCTTTCACTAAGCAATTCAGAGAAGCAGATCGTAATTTTGGCATGCATTGAATGGAGTCATGGGTGCATTCAGATACGTGGTCCGCAGCAGATTTTCTTCAAAATACAACAAAAATAGGTTAATTCATGTTCAGAACAACCCAGGGTATAACGTCATGTCATCTTGTAACTGTACATCAAACATAGTGATCATAAATGTTGACACTGTATATTATGAGTTTTATGATATGGAAATGTGAAGTGCACATTCAGACTCAAAGGTGTTTGGCTTGCTTGTATGACATCAAAGCGGAATTTATTATAATCCTCAACGTCTCATTTTTCAAAAGAAATAGAGTCCCTGTAAATTACAGCATTTCCCTCCCAATTTTTTTGTGCAAAAGTTGCCCAATTAGCATTAAGGATAGGAGCAACTTCTTGTTGCGCGCGGTGCTCAAGTTCAGAACGTCTGTCAGTCAAAACCCATACAGTGCTGTGAAGCGCAGACCCAGAGCTCTGACGTCATGTATAACATGTTACTGTACAGCCACTGCGTTCCAATTATCGTGCTTATCAGGGTCCAAAGCTGCCATTTTCAACCATAAACGGGTACGAGTGTAAAGGGCTACAGAACAATGATCACTGACAATTAGCATCAGTTGTTAATAGTCCTTGAATGCCAGTTCCTCACCTCCACACTGTGTAGCCGTTCAGCTGGAAGAACTTGAGGACATCCTGGGCTTTCTCTCTCAGTTTGGCTTTCTCCTTGGTAGGGAGGGTATCATAGGGCACCAGTGTAGAATGACCCCCTCCCCCTGGAGTAACAAATCAGAACAAAGTATAATAGATGGACGGATGTGAAATTCAGAAAGGATATCCAGCGCATTTGAGGGAATTCACCAATCTTTTTCATATAAGCATTTATTTCAGATGCAAAGTCATTATGTAGATTAATCATTCTGCACAGTGCTTTGCTTCAGAACCACTGAGTAACTTTTTGGCCTGGTTTCAAGTTGCCAGAGGTACACGAAATCACCTATAGGCACAACCCCTCTTAGAGCTTAATTAATCATGGTTTGTGATGAAATGCTACCTTTAGCATCCACTTCCTGCTTCTTCTTCCTGGACCAGGTGTTATGGTAGTTCTCAGCCAGCAATTCAGCCATAGACTGAAGGAAAGTATAAAACAATCAGTTATTATACAGTCAATAACAATAATCCTAATTGTATATGAATACAGTATGTCTATGTCCTGACTTACACACTGATCCCATGAGAGTGTCACACTGCTCATGTCCATTGGCTTGGGGGTGAAGGTTGATGCTCCTTCAAACGACAGCTAAACCACAGACAGAGACATCCATTCATTTACATCTTTCTACGCATTCATTGCAATAGTTTAGTACATTCAGTGTGAATCAAAGCAACAGCAGCAACAACAACAACAACAGCAACAACAACAACACCCCCAACAGCAACAATATGGACAGTACAGCTGCTCAGTTTCAATGAAGAAAGCAAGGAAGGAAGAAATGCAACAGATGGGAAAAAGTCAACAGGTTCATATCAGAGCAGGACTTAAACAAGGTCATGCCAACAGTACTGTGTGAGGTCCTATGGATTCAGGTCCTATAATACTGTAGTACTATACCTGTCCAGCCTGGGAGATGCGGCGTGAGCAGGTGAGTAGGCCAAGGCCATCTCCCTCTTTAGTTCTCTCTATTGTCCAGCCAAAGGCCAACATACTTCGCACTGTCTCCTTTATGGACCAGCGATACGCCTCTTTGTCCTGAGGAAAACCAATGTGACAGTAACAAACAGATGATAAAACTTTGGAACTGCAATATGTTCACGACAGACAAATGCAGACAAATATTAGATATTTTATTCCAAATATCAATAAAATCCTAAAACAAACAGTACTCTGTATGTTGTAGCTTAGACCCACCCTCTCAGCCAGAGCTCTGTAGGGCTTCAGGAGAGGGTGTACTTTGGTCTTTTCACAGAGCTCCCCATGGACCCAGCCATTGGCAAACTGAAAGTCATAGCAAAGATAAACATACATAATTAATCATATACAGTATGATATTCATATACACACACAGCATAATCTTCTTCATACACAGCAGTTCACACATTACACAGAATGACAGTGTCCACAGAGTTATTGCACAGTACATATTTTAAACTCAAAACAAATATACTCATAGTAAACTCAAAGCTCAGTTACCTTGTCCATTGACCACTTTTCATGGGTGTGTTCTGCATATTTATTCACCACAAACTCCAGTTTCTCTGGTACTGACACACTAACGGGGAAAAAATAATAACTTTATAACACATATCAGAACAATATAATATAAAAATGCTCCTTAAATGGACATATGTATTTATATTTTATAATATTATCAAACAATATATGTAGAGGGCGGCAGGTAGCGTAGCGGTTAGGAGCGTTGGGCCAGTAACCGTGAGGTCGCTGGTTCAAATCCCCGAGCCGACTAGGTGAAAAATGTGTCAAAGTGCTCTTGAGCAAGGCACTTAACCCTAATTGCTCCAGGGTCGCCGTCAATAATGTCTGACCCTACTCTCCGAGAGGTGTCTCAGGGGGAGTGAGATATGTAAAAAACTAATGTCCAATTCATGTGTGTGAAATAGGACAAATGCAAGCACCCACTTTATTATTATTATATATATGTCAATTTAAAGAGCATTTCTACAAGAGAGGACATGAATAATGGTATCACTAAGGTCCTAGCCACAGGCTCACTTGGAGGTGTCTACAGGCTGGGGGTCAAAGTGCCCCTGTGCGTCCATGGAGGGGTGTCTCTCCATCCAGGCTACACAGCCAGGGTCCATGTGGTCAGCAGGGAGGGCTCCAGCTGCAGCCACCAGACACTGCAGAGCCAGCTTGGAGAGCTCAGCGTCATAGTGCTGTTTAGGAGAGGAGACAGGGAGATAGTCTGAACAAATACATGCCTTAGGGCTACACAGGAGAAGACATACGCAATATAAATCATAGACTGGGTGGGTTAGTGTGGGCAGTAGCATTATTGCTTGGTCTGAAAACAAACCCCATGCCCCCTCCAATATCCAATAGATGTTTATAGATATGAAGGGATCCGATTACAATATGACTTATTCTTCAAATGGGCTTTTGGGTTGCTCCCATTGTAGGCTATTGCTTACACTCATCTCTTCAGCTCTGTTAACATCAAATGGTTGTTTTGGGACAGGCTGAAGAGTTGGTCCAACTGTACCTTCCTGGACAGAGCGTTGAACACTCCCCTGAACAGCTTCCTGGAGAGGTGAAGCTCCTCCTCTGAGGCGGAGCCCAGGTGCCCCAAACCTCCAATCAGACAGTAGTACTTCCAGCTCTGCTCATAGTGATTGGTCAACAGCTGGAAGGAAAGTGGCGAAAGTCAATTTCTTCAGAAAAGTCATATATGTCCAAATACACACATACATTACATGGCCTGTGTATGTGTGTGACTACTATTATATAACTAACCTTGAGTGGTATTTTAGTGTGGTTTGTCAGAAGGGGCACATCGAAAACAAGCCGTCGGAGCAGAGGTTGCATCAAGGATGGCCTGAGCTTACTGAGGACACATGCAGAAGGACACACAGAAATACAGTATGCACCAACAATTCCCTTTGAATTACATCTCCTTCTAAATAACTGCTCCCGTTCTGCCTCTATGGTAGAGAAGGTGTGCAAGTGATGGAGGAGAACAGGGAGCTGTATGGAGTGATAATAATAATAACATTAGTTCCTCCATGTGCCCCACCTGCATATGGCCAGCATGCAGTCCTCGATGGCGTCTCTCTGGGCCTTGGTGAGGCTGAGGGCCCTGGACAGGCGGTAGACGGCCTGGAGGAGAGCATCCACCAGCGGCCCCTGGTCCTCTGTCCCAGAGAACAGGCTGGAGCACTTAGTGAGCAGGGGCAGCACAGCCGTACACAGGTACCTGTTCAGGGCCAGGGCCATGTCTGTGGCACTCAGATCAGTCTGCAGGGAGAGGAGCAGCCGGGTGAAATTTAGTTTACAGAAGTGTCAGGACTAAAAAGAGAGGGGCAGTTTTAACCTAGGGACAGAGACAGAGGAAGAAAGAAAAAAGGATTCGATCCATAAAAGTCTGAGAGTCAGAAATGGAGAGAGACATTGAAGACTAGTAAGAATGAGGGAAAGGGGAGTGAATGAGTGAGTTGGTATGGTAACACTGCCCCATAGTGTTCGTTAGTAGACACTACAGATCCTGTCTCCAACACTAACCCTAACTCAAATCTCATTAATGAATTAATGGTGCACTTCATCTGCATTACAGGATAATCCTTGGGATGTGATAGTCTCACTCTGTGTCCCACAATGTGCATTGGCTGAACACTCCAATGGGGTTATAGTGAATCACTCCAGTGGGCATTCCTGTAGGTCCCTCAGGTCCATAACAGTGGATCACTCCAGTGGTGCTGTGTCAGTATGGTCAATGTCTCCCTCACTGTGTCCAGAGAGGCCGCAGCCTGCAGGTCTGGCAGGAAGCCCACTTCCAGCAGGTGGAGCAGGAAGCTCTGGTCCTCGATGCCGTACACACGGTCCAGGAAGAGCACCATGGCTGCCTTGTGGTCCGGGCAGAACACATTGGATGGGTCTGGCTCGACTACTGTGCCATCTGGATAAATGACAAGAACAGAAGGAAATTTGGACAAATATTTCACCACATTATATTTTGGCTAATGCGGCACAATTTTTACGATGGGTGGATCTATAATACATGCTTGGCGATCCGTCTCAAAACTTGAGCCAACTTAACCCCAGGCTAATTGCTACCATATAACAGAGAAAGCACTCAGCAGGAGGATGAGACTAGAACCAACTTATCTGTAAAAAATAAAAATAAACAGTACAAGCTGCAAAGATTGGGTTTACAACCACATAAGACTATAGTGACTTCTCACAGAGGACTGACCTTTTGCTAGAGAAGGGAGTTGGAAGGGGATGCCGATGACTCCCTCCAGGTCCTGGATGGGGATGAGGGACCTCAGGATGGCCCGGATACGGATGGCCTCGCCCTTCCCAGCATGGATCAGCTGGACAAACATAATCAAATCAAAGTGATCAGCTTTATTAGTATTTTATTCTTAAGCTCTGCCATTCATTCCAATGTCTTTAAAGACTTTAAAGAAACAGCCAACGTCAAATGATCTTGCTGTCAGGTAATGTGCAGCATATGACACAGACCTTCACTTTTTGGACACAAATAGAAGTGGAGGAAATAAAGCTTCTTAACCCATAAGGTCAATCACTGCATGGCCAATCAATGTAACCGCAGGCAAGCATTTTCTAGTCCTACATTAGAGCCCTGATCGATTGGACTATTGACAGTGTCCCATCAGGTGGTTAAACAGACTAACATGCATCTCCGGGGCACAGCGGCCCAGCAGGTCAATGAGGGCGGAGTAGAAGGTCATGATGGAGTGGCCCATGTGGATTATGTCCTCCTCCTCATCCTGCAGCACGTTCCTGTGTGGGCGGGGAGAGAGAAGCGTTTACATGACTCAGAAGCTGTGCACCATACTGATTTTACTCATGTTTAAAGGTCAGTTGACATAACTGGACGCCATATTGAATCAAGCTGAAGAGGGAACGGTCATAGAATTACAGTACATACAATATACTATAATACTAGTATATATATAGTATTTGTCTTCTAATTGTGTGTGGGGAAGCCTATCCTCTTCTGGCTGACCAGTAGGAAAACCAAAAGTCACCAGTTTACTGGGGCAAAAGACTTGTTCTTCCAGTGTTCCCTTTCTAACTCACAGTGTTCTGTTGGACTCGTAGGTCGTGGAGGGTCCGTCCATAGTCAGGTCCTCTGAGATCCTGATGGCTTCCTCCATGGCTGCCAGTAGACCATCGCCACCCTCACCTCGCAGGGCGGGGCCAAAACACTCCGGACGGCGAATCAGCAGCCTCACCACCGAGTAGGCATTCTCCTCCACACTCTCCCCTGTCAGCAATCGACTGATTATTAGCCTAATTTCTACTCTGTAGTCTAGCTGTTATCAGTCATGAACTACATATACAGCTAGAGTATCTGTATAGTCAGTTTTAACAGGTTACCGTTACAGAAGACAGCAAAGCGCAGGAAGTCCAGGTAGCGTTCCCCCTCCACAGGGTTCCAGCCAATGTCAGGGTAGCCTTTAGACACCAGCATGGGACAGCTCTGTAGACCACAGCCTGCCAAGTACTGCACCACCTACAGAGAGACACAGAGGACAGAGAGATAGGGAGAGGGAGAGGGAGAGGGAGATAGATACAGTAGACTGTATATATATACATATATATACAGTACCAGTCCAAAGTTTGGACACACCTACTCATTCCAGGGTTTTTCTATATTTTCACTATTTTCTACATTGTACAATAATAGTGAAGACATCAAAACTATGAAATAACACATATGGAATCATGTAGTAACCAAAACAGTGTTAAACAAATTAAAATATATTTTAGATTCTTCAAAATAGACACCCTTTGGCATTCTCACGCTTGGCATTCTCTCAACTAGCTTCATGTGGTAGTCACCTGGAATGCATTTCAATTAACAGGTGTGCCTTGTTAAAAGTTGTGTTGTGACAAGATAGAAGTATACAGAAGATAGCCCTATTTGATAAAATACCAAGTCCATATTATGTCAAGAACAGCTCAAATAAGAAAAGAGAAACGATAGTCCATCATTACTTTAAGACATGAAGGTCAGTCAATACGGAAAATGTCAAGAACTTTGAAAGTTTCTTCAAGTGCAGTCGCAAAAACCATCAAGCGCTATGATGAAACTGGCTCTCATGAGGACCGCCACAGGAAAGGAAGACCCAGAGTTACCTCTGCTGCAGAGTATAAGTTCATTAGAGTTACCAGCCTCAGAAATTGCAGCCCAAATAAATGCTTCACAGAGTTCAAGTAACAGACACACCTCAACATCAACTGTTCAGAGGAGACTGCGTGAATCAGGCCTTCATGGTCGAATTACTGCAAAGAAACCACTACTAAAGGACACCAATAAGAAGAAGAGACTTGATTGGGCCAAGAAACACAGGCAATGGACAGTAGATTGGTGGAAATGTGTCCTTTGGTCTGAGTCCAAATTTGAGATTTTTGGTTCCAACCACCGTGTCTTTGTGAGACGCAGAGTAGGTGAACGGATGATCTCTGCATGTGCGGTTCCCACCGTGAAGCATGGAGGAGGAGGTGAGATGGTGTGGGGGTGCTTTGCTGGTGACACTGTCTGTGATTTATTTAGAATTCAAGGCACACTTAACCAGCATGACTACCACAGCATTCTGCAGCGATACGCCATCCCATCTGGTTTGCGCTTAGTGGGACTATCATTTGTTTTTCAACAGGACAATGACCCAACACACCTCCAGGCTGTGTAAGGGCTATTTGACCAAGAAGGATAGTGATGGAGTGCTGCATGAGATGGCCTGGCCTCCACTATCACCCGACATCAACACAGAGTTAAGGAAAAGCAGCCAAGAAGTGCTCAGCATATGTGTGAACTCCTTCAAGACTGTTTGAAAAGCATTCCAGGTGAAGCTGGTTAAGAGAATGCCAAGAGTGTGAAAAGCTGTCATCAAGGCAAAGGGTGGCTACTTTGAAGAATCTCAAATATAAAATATATTTTGTTTGTTTAACCCTTTTTTGGTTACTACATGATTACATATGTGTTATTTCATAGTTTTGATGTCTTCATTATTATTCTACAATGTAGAAAATAGTAAAAATAAAGAAAAACCCTTCAATATGCAGGTGTGTACAAACCCTTTGACTGGTACTGTATATATACAGTTGATGTCGGAAGTTTACATACACCTTAGCGAAGTACATTTAAACTCAGTTTTTCGCAATTCCTGACGTTTAATCCTAGTAAAAATTCCCTGTCTTAGGTCAGTTAGGATCACCACTTTATTTTAAGAATGTGAAATGTCAGAATAATAGTAGAGAGAATGATTTATTTATTTCATCACATTCCCAGTGGGTCAGAAGTTTACATACACTCAATTAGTATTTGGTAGCATTGCCTTTAAATTGTTTAACTTGGGTCAAACATTTCGGGTAGCCTTCCACAAGCTTCCCACAATAAGTTGGGTGAATTTTGGCCCATTCCTCCTGACAGCTAGTGTAACTGAGTCAGGTTTGTAGGCCTCCTTGCTCACACACGCTTTTGCAGTTCTGCCCACACATTTTCTATAGGATTGAGGTCAGGGCTTTGTGATGGCCACTCCAATACCATGACTTTGTTGTCCTTAAGCCATTTTGCCAAAACTTTGTAAGTATGCTTGGGGTCATTGTCCATTTGGAAGACCCATTTGCGACCAAGCTTTAACTTCCTGACTGAGGTCTTGAGATGTTGCTTCAATATATCCACATAATTTTCCTTCCTCATGATGCCATCTATTTTGTGAAGTGCACCAGTCCCTCCTGCAGCAAAGCACCCCCACAGCATGATGCTGCCATCCCCGTGCTTCACGGTTGAGATAGTGTTCTTCGGCTTGCATGCCACCCCCTTTTTCCTCCAAACATAACGATGGTCATTATGGCCAAACAGTTCTATTTTTGTTTCATCAGACCAGAGGACATTTCTCCAAAAAGTACGATCTTTGTCCCCATATGCAGTTGCAAACTGTAGTCTGGCTTTGTTATGGCAGTTTTGGAGCAGTGGCTTCTTCCTTGCTGAGCGGCCTTTCAGGTTATGTCGATATAGGACTCGTTTTACTGTGGATATAGATCATTTTGTACCTGTTTCCTCCAGCATCTTCACAAGGTCCTTTTTGCTGTTGTTCTGGAATTGAAAGTGCGTTCATCTCTAGGAGACAGAACGCGTCTCCTTCCTGAGCGGTATAACGGCTGCGTGGTCCCAAGGATGTTTATACTTGTGTACTATTGTTTGTACAGATGAACGTGGTACCTTCAGGCGTTTGGAAATTGCTCCCAAGGATGAACCAGACTTGTGGAGGTCTACCATTTTTTTTCTGAGGTCTTGGCTGATTTATTTTGATTTTCCCATGATGTCAAGCAAAGACGCACTGAGTTTGAAGGTAGGCCTTGAAATACATCCACAGGTACACCTCCAATTGACTTAAATTTGAATTTTCCAAGCTGTTTAAAGGCACAGTCAACTTAGTGTATGTAAACTTCTGACCCACTGGAATTGTGATACAGTGAATTATAAGTGAAAAAATCTGTCTGTAAACAATGGTTGGAAAAATGACTTGTGCCAAGTTTACATACACATAGGTTAGAGTCATTTCTTGTTAACAAACTATAGTTTTGGCAAGTCGGTTAGGACATCTACTTTGTGCATGGCACAAGTCATTTTTCTGATTGAGAGGGGGTCAAATACAATATATATATATACATATATATATATATACAGTGAGGGAAAAAAGTATTTGATCCCCTGCTGATTTTGTACGTTTGCCCACTGACAAAGAAATGATCAGTCTATAATTTTAATGGTAGGTTTATTTGAACAGTGAGAGACAGAATAACAAAAAATCCAGAAAAACACATGTAAAAAATGTTAGAAATTGATTTGCATTTTAATGAGGGAAATAAGTATTTGACCCCCTCTCAATCAGAAAGATTTCTGGCTCCCAGGTGTCTCTTAAAGGGAGTGCTCCTAATCTCAGCTTGTTACCTGTATAAAAGACAAATGTCCACAGAAGCAATCAATCAATCAGATTCCAAACTCTCCACCATGGCCAAGACCAAAGAGCTCTCCAAGGATGTCAGGGACAAGATTGTAGACCTACACAAGGCTGGAATGGGCTACAAGACCATCGCCAAGTAGCTTGGTGAGAAGGTGACAACACTTGGTGCGATTATTCGCAAATGGAAGAAACACAAAATAACTGTTAATCTCCCTCGTCCTGGGGCTCCATGCAAGATCTCACCTCATGGAGTTGCAATGATCATGAGAACGGTGAGGAATCAGCCCAGAACTACACTGGAGGATCTTGTCAATGATCTCAAGGCAGCTGGGACCATAGTCACCAAGAAAACAATTGGTAACACACTACGCCGTGAAGGACTGAAATCCTGCAGCGTGGCAAGGTCCCCCTGCTCAAGAAAACACATATACAGGGCCGTCTGAAGTTTGCCAATGAACATCTGAATGATTCAGAGGAGAACTGGGTGAAAGTGTTGTGGTCAGATGAGACCAAAATCGAGCTCTTTGGCATCAACTCAACTCGCCGTGTTTGGAGGAGGAGGAATGCTGCCTATGACCCCAAGAACACCATCCCCACCGTCAAACATGGAGGTGGAAACATTATGCTTTGGGGGTGTTTTTCTGCTAAGGGGACAGGACAACTTCACTGCATCAAAGGGACGATGGACGGGGCCATGTACCAACAAATCTTGGGTGAGAACCTCCTTCCCTCAGCCATGGCATTGAAAATGGGTCGTGGATGGGTATTCCAGCATGACAATAACCCAAAACACACGGCCAAGGCAACAATGGAGTGGCTCAAGAAGAAGCACATTAAGGTCCTGGAGTGGCCTAGCCAGACTCCAGACCTTAATCCCATAGAAAATCTGTGGAGGGAGCTGAAGGTTCGAGTTGCCAAACATCAGCCTCGAAACCTTAATGACTTGGAGAAGATCTGCAAAGAGGAGTGGAACAAAATCCCTCCTGAGATGTGTGCAAACCTGGTGGCCAACTACAAGAAACGTCTGACCTTTGTGATTGCCAACAAGGGTTTTGCCACCAAGTACTAAGTCATGTTTTGCAGAGGGGTCAAATACTTATTTCCCTCATTAAAATGCAAATCAATTTATAACATTTTTGACATGCATTTTTCTGGATTTTTTTGTTGTTATTCTGTCTCTCACTGTTCAAATAAACCTACCATTAAAATTATAGACTGATCATGTCTTTGTCAATGGGCAAACGTACAAAATCAGCAGGGGATCAAATACTTTTTTCCCTCACTGTATATATATATATATATATATATATATATATATATATATATATATATATATAGAGAGAGAGAGAGAGAGAGAGAGAGAGAGAGAGAGAGAGAGAGAGAGAGAGAGAGAGAGAGAGAGAGAGAGAGAGAGACAGAATAAAGTTAAAGGAGAGAGCTGAACAGACTTAAGAGGATTACACATACTGTATGCAGTCAGGGACAGAAAAAAGATTGAGGGAGATAAATAAGGAGGGACAGATCTTTCTCACTTTTTCCAGGTCTGGTTCCCTCAGGGCCAGGGCCAGCTCGTTGTTGTCCATGACAGAGGCAGCTGCCACGTCCAGAGGGGTGGCTCCACGCATGTTCGGAGAGGCTAAGGAGCGTATTAAACATATTTAAATCACAATAATAATAATAATAATAATTATAAGCCTTACAGTGTTGGTGATTTGCTGTTGCTGACACTGGGAAACATACAGAGAGAATGGCATTTCAAGTTACTGTTAATCGTATAGTCTTCTACAGCTCACCTAGACCAACACTGCTATTATCCAACAGGTAGCTGAGGTGCTCGAACATAGATCCCTGATTGTGTCTACTGATGCGACAGAAGTAACAAAGGAAGCGACAGCAATGGGCCACCATCTTAGGAAAGGTGATCTCCTAAAGAAGAAGAGAGAACAACTCCCAGTTAATTCACTTTTCTCACAATGGACACATTCATTCTTTTTTTATACATATCACATCTGTCTCACCTTGGACTCTCCCTCCCCCAGGACGTTCACCATCACCTCCATGACCGTCTCGTGCATCCCCAGAGCCCTCATCAGGTTGGGGTGCTGGTAGAACACCTTGTTGTTCATTATGTCTCTGCACAGGAAATAAACAATGGAGGGTTTCAGCTCCAGGGCTGAAGATTGGTGAACAGATATAACGAATGTGTTTTTGGGCTCAATGTTGCGATCCCATTTTTGGAAGTTAATTAAATTACATTTGAACATTTCCACAGAACAGAGCTTGTATTATGAATCAAGACATGGTTTAGCTAGGCATCTATCTAGCGAGGCAAGAGTAGAGCTAGAAGAGGACTAGCAGTAGTTCTCCATTCGTACCCCAGTCCCCGGATCATGAGTCTCTCCTCCTCCTTGCCCATGCGGACGCTGAGCAGAGAGCGAATCTGGACCAGAGAGGCCAGCAAGGCCATAGTGTCCTCCACTGACACCTGGCTGATGGTGTAGGCCTTGTGGAGGGGAGCGCCCATCTGCCCCCCCAAGCCCTCGTACTGCCGGTGCAGCAGAGAAAACATGGCCCTGACCAGAGCTGGGTTCTCCATCACACACTCCTGTGCCCAGCGCACCACCGTGTCAGAGATGAGCTGCTGAAGAGTCACTATGGGGGGAGAGACAATGGCCACTGTTAGTAGCCGACTTAATGTTGTATTGATCCTGCGCCCAGATGTGGAGCTTTGCTCACTGGTATTCTGTGCTCTGTCTTCCTCTTCAGGATCTGCAGAGCTCCTCTTCAAGCCGATTACTCTCCCAACCAGGCTGAAGAGACGATCTTTGATGGAGAGATTGGAATCCTCCACAACCGCGTCATTCTCAACTTCAATTCCTGCACATAGTAAGCCAACCAACAGAACATTGTATAAGGCATTGGAGAAATATATGTAATTAACAAAAACACAGGAGGTGCCATTCCAGGTACCATACCATGCCCTTTCGAAGTCTCTAAAAAGCTTAGTAGGCCAAGTTATGAACTCTATGCTCTCTAACACAAGCTTACACTGTTGTATGACAACCCACCTGTTCAGGTTATTCTCTCTGACAGAAGTACAGTAGTCTAGATTGATCTGGTCACCTACCACAGTGAGTCATGAGGTCCTGGTGGAAGTCCAGCAGCTGCTCTCTGATCTCCTCTGGACACGGACAGTCCCCCTGCTCCTCTCTGAAGCCCAGTAACATGTTGATCTGAGTGGGGGGGGGGTAGAGGAGATACAGTCATGCTCCAGTACACAGAGCTCTTATTATATCATTCTATTTAAAACATTTGACACTTTGTGTACATAGGCTTAGATACAACTATGAACAAAAAGTGTCTCTCTGTGTCTATTTTGTATTCAAGTTATTTAATCCCTCCAATAATCTTAGCCACTTAGACCAGCTGTGTACGTTTCCCTCTCAGCAGTCTCCTCTCTGTCCCCTGACCTGTTCTTGTGGCGGGGAGCGGAACTCCTTGGTCTTGCGGGCGGTGAGGGCAGCAGACATGTGGAGAGCCTGTATCACCTCGTTGTAGCGGAAGCGCTGGTTCTCCTGCAGGTACCCCACGAAGGTGTCTGAGAAGGCCACCACCGCCTCCACCCTGTGACGCACCTGACAGTCACACAGGTACTGTAGCAGGTGGCAGATCTGGACAGAGAGGGACAGGAACATCCATGTCAGGGGGGTGAGCTCATGTCAGGTATTGACAGAGAAGACAGATCATTTACCACAAAGGAAAACATCAGACCCAAAATCTAGGTGTTTCTTCCTACCTCAAGTTTGACAGCTTCTGGTAGCTTCATCTGAAGCAGTCCTTGTGTTGGAAGATTTGGAATGTTCCTCCTTTTGTTCCCCTCACTCTCCATCACACTTTCCCTATCACTATCTGTTACAACTTCTTCTTCCAGCTCTTCCTCCTCCTCCTCCTCTTCTTGGGTACAATCTGCCTGTCGGGAGAAGACTCCAGGCTCGATCAGTGTCAGCACTTTCCCTAGGTCTTCGTCCCCAAACACTCCCATCACCAGCAGGGTGTGGAACAGCCGAATTAGGGGCACCAGCAGCAGCTCAATGCTGCCCCCTTCAGGATCCCTCACACCCTGCCCCATGGCCCACACAGCCTCAGTCAGCATCTTCACTGTCAGGTCCTTCAGAAGGTCCAGTGGGATTTCTGGGCTGTCTATATGGATGCCTTCCCCAGTCGCAACCACGCCATCACCACCACTATCACCATTGACTCCCATGCCATCTCCTCTGATGAAGCAGGGGGAGGTGAAGTGCATCCGGGGTCTGAGGGAGGTGCTGTTGCCCGTTTTGGGCACCCCCTGGGGGCTTCGACTAGCCCTGGGGCTGGGGTAGAGGGTGATGGCCCTGGTCTGCTCCGTCATGGGGACTATGTACTCGTGGTTCATAGCGAGGCGGGCCGTGGCGTGGGTGCTGAGGTGCACCTGGCCCAGGAGGTGGTAGAAGGCGGAGCGGAGCGGCCCGGGGAGGCGGGGGCTCTGGATAGCGTAGAGGAGCTGTGATTGGTCTAGGTGGCTGCAGAGGGCGTGGCCCACACGGGTGTTGCCCAGGGCACAGAGGGCAGAGTAGAGGAGCAGCGTGTGGTGATGGAAAGACAGAAGGTCACCTAGCTCAGAGAGTTCCAGGATGTCCACACACCTACAGGGGGGAGAGAGAAATAGCATGACCTAAATGCAATGTAAAAAAAGCTTAGGTGTACCCATTCAATTGTTGGGAGCATTGTAGAGTGCAATGTTACAATGTTACAATGTGTCTTTGCTTTGGCAGTAAACAATTTCCTGACTCAACACGTTCCTGCTGGAAAGCTCTGAGGCATTAGTAAATATGGCCTTTGACCTCTGACCTGTTCTCCTCTGGGATGAGCAGGGTCATGACCTGCAGGGGCTCTAAGCACTGGACCCTCCAGCCGAGGCGGTCTTCAGGTTGGGCAGTCTGCACCCTCAGGGTGTGGTCTGGTACACGGGTCCAAAGGACGGGCGACAGCACCTGCACCTGCAGCCTGGGGGGACACTGGGGCATAGCATTCCTCCTCTGGCTCCTGAACAGACCCGTTGACAGGGGTAGCATGTTCTGAACAGAGAATAACAAGGTTTTTCATTCAAGACAATGTAGCCCTGTGGATATGGTAGCAGGGCCATTATGGTAAAATGTATATATTTTCTAAACAGTATGGACATGCTTAGGGGATTGTATAGTATTTGTAAAGTGCAATCAACAACACATTTTAAATTGGACAAACTGAGAGAGGCATCACATTGTTACCAATGAATAAGGCATTTAGGTTACCTTTATGCGCCCCAGCTCAAACTGGAACACATTGGAGCTGGTGGCCTTGGCAAAGACTGCAGGAAACAGCCTGGTGCTGGGCTCCACCTGGTTGATAACAGTTTGGTCAGTTAGTATGAATAGCTCAGAGACATCATATCATATCCCAACTGGTAGGAACTTCTCTTTATAAATCAACCTATTGAGAAAAACGCAAACTCACATTAAATACTAATGACTACTATGTATTTGCTTTGGGAGCCTTCTTCTCTTTGTCAACGCAACATTGTCATTGCAACATTGTTAATTGCCATTAGCAGTAGACTTTACCTGAAAGAAGGTCCCCAGCTCCATGCCGTTGGAGCTGAATGTTAGCAGTCCAGTGGTGGTGTCTATCAGACAGCCTATGGCCAGGCCAGCACTCCTCCTGCTCTGACCCAGGCCCGTGCACTCGCCGGCGCACACCATGTAGCAGTTACTACGTTTCACACTGACATACAGAAATACAACGTGGGAATGTCCAAATCTAACTTTTTAGTCTGAAAGCATTATTGTAATAATACTACAGTGCTTGTTTTTAAACATTATGATCAAAATGTGTCAAGAGAAAATGTAGACACAAAATGATGTTGCTTTGTCCCTTATTAAACAGACCTCTCATGGACCTTGCCCATGTCGTCTCCGAGGGTGACAGTCACTGTGCGGATCTTTTCCAGGTCAAAGTTCAGCTGGTGCTGGTGGAAGTCAGAGGTGACCCAGCCCACCCAGACAGTGGAAGGGTCCTGACCTGGTAACACCCTAACTGAGTAATAGTACTGTGGAAGATTACAGGGAGATCAGTTACTGATTTTCTTTAACAAATGCCCTCAATTGACTTTGCTGTCTTTACCCCTTTCATACACAGACAAAAATCCCACTATTTTAACATTCCTGCTTCTTTTTACCTTTTGGTCACCTGAAAGGTGTAGGGGGTAAAAAACATGGAAAAATAAAACCCACCTAAAGACCTAGTCATGATTCCTGCATTTTCACAGACCCTGTTACCAAAATACAGGTATCGGGGCTGTGTGACTGCTTCTCTGCTTTATGCAGGTATTTTCATTAACACTTTCATAGTTTAACACCTCCCTAATTTGAAATGCAAACAGCCCCCATGGTTTAACAACACACCCACCCCTCCCAATTTGCCAGTTACCCACTGATATGTATAAAAGTCACTCAGTCACTGATTTGGAGAAACGTATACATACTTTTATTTCCTCACGCCTAGATTACTGTAACTCTTTGTATACTTGTCTCAGTCAGAAATCACTCCATTGTCTAGTTAGTTCAAAACGCTGCTGCTCGGCTTTTAACAGGCACCAGGTCATTTATCCATATCACACCTATTTTAGCTTCTCTACACTACCAGTCACTTTTAGAATTTATTTCAAAATGTTATTCATTACGTTTAAGGCTTGGTTTAGCTCCATCCTATATCTCAGATCTGTTATCTCCCTACGAGCCAGGACACAGCCTGAGATCCTCTGGCAGGGCACTGACGACCATGACATGGTGCATTCTTTCATGCCAACCATACAGCCCTATGCCAGGGCCGACACAGGGGCTCACCTACCTGGTGACAACACTGGGCCTGAGTGATAACTAAAGGAGACCTGGCATTTGCCATTAGGGCCCCTAGACTTTGGAACGGTCTGCCAGAGGAGATCAGGCTTGCAGATTCAGTGCCTCTTTTTATATCCTGCATCTTTTATAAAGATGCTTGATTTCAATGCATGATTTTTACGACTCATGTCATTTTTTTTTATCCTCTTGTTTTTCTTTCTTTGTTAGTATTTTTATTTTATTGTATTATTTTATGATGTGAAGAACATTGTTACCTGTATTGAAAAGCTCTATACAAATAAAGTTATTATTATTATTAAAGGGGTATACCTGCAAGAAAGTGGTTCATAAGGGGCTGTTTGAAAGGGAATCATATAAACATTGCCTTATATTTTTGTACAGGTAATATACCACATCTTCTGTCTAAAATGGGTCAAAATAGTTGATGAAGAGTTGATGAGTAAAAGTGTATTACCGTAGTGGACTGGGCCAGATGGTCATAGTCGTCTTTGTCAGCATGAACCTCCTGCAGTAGACGGGCAGATGAGTGGCTTTTGTTCAACTCTGGTTTGGGTTTCTTCAACATGAACCTAGGAGCACACATACACAGATTGACCTTTATTAAATGCATATCAACACCATGAAATGCAAGCATTTTTCCCTCTGAAAATGTTCCCAATCCCTTATACAGTATATGTATTGTTTGTCATAGCCTGGTTTCTTCTCCCTACCGTTGTTTGAGTTTGGATGTTTTATCATGGCTGGAGCCAGCGTAAACATGAGATGATTTCAACAGCATCTCAAAGTCAGAGTCCACCTCAAACTCCTGCAGGTCTTTCCTGGCTGTGGAGACACTGCTGCTGATTGGTAGAGTAGCCCCTACTGGTCTGGAGAGGGCCTCAGCACATTCTATGGGCATACTGATTCTGTAGAACCCCATGTCACTGCCACAACTCTGGGGTCCCAATGACCTTTGTGTAACCTTTAGGCATGGTGGGCTCTCAGTGGACCCAGTGATTCTTGTCACCTTGGAAAAGAGACTTATAGAATTATACTCACATTTCTATGATAAGACCTGTGTTACTAAATATAATGGTAAGATTAAACTCCCTTGTACATGCTTGTAGTCGAGAGATTGACCCATACAGTACTGAGGGGTATACTACAAAGCAAGATCAATGACTTGAATAAATATTCTGAAATACATTTCAATTTTTTAGAAAGATAAGCTTGAAATGGGCATGGTCTAATTGACTGAAAAACCAAACACACATATGGTATTTAAGTTTAACTTTAGTCAGTAGGTATCAAATCTAGGGCTGTCCCCGACTAAAAAACAATCTTGGTCGACCTAGAGTTGTCTGTTCTAGAGTCGAAAAATGTGTACATGTATTTTTCCCTATATAGACACACCCTATGTGTTGAAATAAAATCAGCTATATGTATGCTACTGAGCTTGTCTGATGCTTTAAGCACACTGTGATTAAATAATTAAGACACACAAATGACTCAAGGGAGCCAGAGATCAAGATAGCCTAACCAGAAGAAAAAAAAAATGTTCCCGACCCTCTTCCACCCGCTGCTGCTGGCCTTCGCCGATTCTGCTATTACGCTCCTGCTGTTGCACTCCTAATAGGCTACACCAGGGGTCGGCAACCTTTTCCATTTGGAGTGCCAATTTATCTTACCATTTCTACTGATCTGCGTACCAGTTATGATTTTTATATGCACATTTTTGTGGAACAGTTTAATTTCATTTATAATAAAGTCTTTGTATCTCAAAATCATTATCATGTGGTTAATCAAAAGTAAGTAACTTATATTGCCATTGCCAACTATGTAAAAATAGCCTACATAAAGCCAACAAATAAAAACATTGCAGCCTGCAGGTAGAAAATATCCGGATAAAAATAAATATCCTATAAATCACATTGGCTATGCATGGACTGTCTGTACGGAACATTGTATCAACTATTAACTTGGGTCAGGCCTGAAGCTCCTGCTAGGAAACTTGCAACATTGTATACAATATTCTGTGCCCTCAGAGTGACAGACACTAATGCATTCAATATATTATTATTACAGTCTTTTACCGTTCTCATTGTCGGGGTGGACACGTTGTCAAATAAATCAATAAATGTAGGTATCATCGCGCTAAAGATACGTTTTCAAATAGGCTATGTTGAGGAACTATTGTCATTCTCAATGGATGTAAAAACAGACTTAATTTACTTGCTGTTTGAGATGAATAAAAAATTACTTTGAGAAGTTCCACAGTGGTGGTGAGTTAAGACAATCAGAAATACTATCAGATCCCCAAATGGACACATTTATAGGCCTACATTTGAGCGTAGGCCAGATAGCCTAGGCCTACTTCTACGTATAATCAGGCACGCGTCCTTACTCAACATTGACAGGAGCGCTACAAACAAACGACAATGAATACATTGAAAACTCCTAAATGGAATGAAATAAACCAAAACTTGTTCCTCACAAGTGTAGCTAGGTTGTGCAGTCCGCAAACAACGTGAACAGTACAAATTAACATAATTTACCGTAACCAAGCAAACATTGTAGATTAGAAATTATGTGAATTAATGGTAAATGTACTACTGGTGATACTGGTGTGCAATCCCCATGGCCTCCGCAATGCATTAGTCCATTTTATTTTATTTTAGACTGCTCGACTAAGAAAATCTTGGTCGACCAACAGCCTATCGACCAAACAATCGACTAGTCGACTAAATGGGGTCAGCCCTAATCAAATCAATTGTTATTTCTGGTTGTTTACCGAAGTTAGCCGGCTAACTCATTGATCCTGCTTTGTAGTATACCCCCCTGGTTCAGGTCAGGTTGGCTTGTGGTTGTGTGGTGACTAACCTGTATGCTATCATGGTCTGTCTGTACAGGGATGAACTGTGGTTGTCTCCAGCTCATCCACAGGGCTGGGTCTCTGGCCATGTTGACAGCAAATGGCTTATAACCTTCCTGTAGGCCACACACTGTGAAGTAACACAGCGAGGCCACGTCACGACCCAGATTCAGCCTGGCCTTCTGGTTCACCCCGAGACTACACACAGGGAGGAAGCCTAGGAACGACAGGAACAGGAGGAGGAGGGAAAACCATCAGGTCAACACATCAAGTTGGTTTTTAGGAGGAAGAAGATATTTGCCAAATTAACAAACCCTGGCTGATGTCAAAGTCCTTGGCAGCCAGCTCTGATCCTCGGTCGTTCAAAAGCACCTCTCCATTGAGAGTGACCATCATGGTGCATTCTCCCATGTCAACCATACAGCCCACCACGTCACCACTCTGCCAGGGCCGACCCAGGGGCTCACCTCCCTGGTGACACCACTGGGCCTGTGTGTGAGAGACAGAAGTGAGCATTTGCAAGAGACCTTACCAATGGCTACACACCAAGCTGCATGTAATGTCCAATCCATGACTCACTTCTAATAGTGCGAACTTGGGTATGTAGCCTACATAATATTGTTGATTACAGCATGTCACCAGTAGTAATTTCAGTCTTCTCACCTTGGAGCCGTCAAACACAAAAGCCTGCATGTCTGATCCTAGTTCCCCATTCGGTGTGCAGTGGGGACGAGCCCAGCCTACCCTCATGTCCCCTGCCGTCACTGCCTCAAACTCAAAGTACCACTTCCCCCTGGTCACAGCATACAACTTGTCTGCCCTGAAGATCCTGAACTTCTCAGCCGCTGTGTGACATGGGTCTGGCATCACAGCTGAAATCCAAAGGAGTAACAGCACATTACAATAACCTATTTTAATAATGATTAGAGGTGTATAAGATGATAATAATGATTAAAATCATTGCTAATGCGGAATGTGAATTCATCCATACCTCTGTCCTGGTCCAGGGGCTCCAGACTGTAGCCATAGCTCAGCAGGGTGCACACGGCCTCCCTCACACTGTCTCTGCCGGACTGTCTGCTCCTCTCATCCAGCAGGCTGTAGGGCACCAGGTGGGGGCTCCGCTTGGCCTTCACATCCTAGAAGAACCAGAGAGAATGAGTTAGCACTCATTACCGCTATATTACTATCACATACACTGAGTGTACGAAACATTAGACTGACCAGGTGAATCCAGGCGAAAGCTATGATCCCTGATTGATGTCACTTGTTAAATCCACTTCAACCAGTGTAGACGAAGGGGAGGAGACAGGTTAAATAATGATTTTCAAGCCTTGAGACAATTGAGACATGGGATTGTGTGTGTGCCATTCAAAGTGCCTTTGAACGGGGTATGGTAGTAGGTGCCAGGCGCACCGGTTTGAGTGTGCCAAGAACTCCAACACTGCTGGGTTTTTCACGCTCAACAGTTTGCCGTGTGTATCAATAATGGTCCACCACCCAAAGGACATGCAGCCAACTTGACACAACTGTGGGAAGCATTGGAGTCAACATGGGCCAGCATCCCTGTGGAACGCTTTCAACACCTGTCGTAGCCGGCCGCGACCAGGAGACCCATGGAGCGGCGCACAAATGGCCCAGCGTCGTCCAGGGTAGGGGAGGAAATGGCCGGCAGGGATGTAGCTCAGTTGGTAGAGCATGGCGTTTGCAACGCCAGGGTTGTGGGTTCGATTCCCACGGGGGGCCAGTATGAAAAATAAATAAATAAATAATGTATGCACTCACTAACTGTAAGTCGCTCTGGATAAGAGCGTCTGCTAAATTACTAAAATGTCAAATGTAAATGTCCATGCCCCGATGAATTGAGGCTGTGCTGAGGGCAAAAGGGGGTGTAACTCAATATTAGAAAGGTGTTCTTAATGTTTTTTACACTCACTGTATAAACCAAACTAGTCTGCTCCTGGACTTAGCCTTACAATAAACACCTTCAAATCCTTCATCAAGACATATCAGAAAGGTCTTCTCATCCCACAATGACAAACCAGGCTTACCACTATCAAAAGACCAGCTAACATTCTTGTCGTCCTCTATTTCAAGGCTCTTGGTAAAGTAGATATTTCATTCACTCCACTGCTGTAGTTTGGCTGGGTCTACCCTTGTATCAAAGCTTACCTGGTGTGAGCTGTAGGTCCAGCCCTGCCTGATCCGGTCCCTGGCCCACACATTGTGATCATTCTCAGCCAGCAGCTCCACCACCGCCTCCTGGGCAGGACTCAGGGTGACGTGGCTCAGGTCTACCGGGGCTGGTCTATACCCACTCGGCATCTCATACCTAGACAGCAGAGGAAGGGTTAATTTACTACAAAAAAACAGGAGGAACATTCACTCACTCACTCATAAAGAGTCTCAAGAGTATAGCTACATACTTGATGGAGAGCCTCATGTATCTCATTCCCTCATCAGCACGGTCATCTGCCAGTCCAATATGCAAACCAAAGGCAAGGAGAGTCCTTCACAAAGAAGAGAATAAACCCAAAATAAGTGTCTTGACAGGTCCTTTTGGTGTGAATGTGTGAATGGCAGCGGAGGCTTACCGGAGAGTGTCCTGGGACATCTGAAGGTTGTGGTTCCGCTCCTGCTCTGGGAGCCTGGAGAACTCCACCAGACAGGGGTCCTGCTTCTTATTGTCATCTCTCACCTACATCACAATACACATCGGTCAAAATACATATATACTGTAGACATGTACAGCTGTGAACAGCTTGCTATGGAAACCATTCAATCAGTTGACCAAGAAACAGGAATGTATGTGAGGGATTTGAATACGAGGCCATAACCCATTCAGTAGTTGCATCACTCACAGCCCCATGGGTCCATCCAAGGTCAATCTTGTCCATGACCCACAGCTCATGGGTGTTCTCTGCTAGTCTCTCACAAATATGCTCCAGTTGAAGGGGCAACACCACCTAAGGAACCACATGGGGTTGGGGTATATGATAATAGAGAGAAGATAGGTCCTACTCTGTTTTTACCTAGCTAAAGTAGGTTGTGTGCACCGACATGCTTTAAAGGCCATGGTCAAACGTGCATAGACTGTACAGAGGTCAAAGTACTACTGGATTTGGTACCTGGCTGATGTCTACTGGACTAGGGGTAAAGGTTGCTGGGGTGAGGGGTACAGTGGGGCCCTGAAGGTGTTGGTCCTGGGTGAAGTCCTGACACGGCTCCACCCTCAGCTTCATCCTGGGGAGCAGAGCCTCGGAACATGGGGCGAAGCCTGGAGGGGGCAGGAAATGGAACTCTCCATGTCGCCCACCCAGCAGAAAACGCACCCTGGGATCAAACAGTCCAGACAAACACCACGATAGATTGGATCAGACAGAGCCACACATTAATTACTTGGACATTGGTACAGAATCAGATCACGTTCATATAGAAATGGAAAATTTTGTTTTCAGAAAAGCACTCCTGAAATATAGGTACAGTGGGGAGAACAAGTATTTGATACACTGCCGATTTCGCAGGTTTTCCTACTTACAAAGCATGTAGAGGTCTGTATATGTTATCATAGGTACACTTCAACTGTGAGAGACGGAATCTAAAACAAAAATCCAGAAAATCACATTGTATGATTTTTAAGTAATTAATTTGCATTTTATTGCATGACATAAGTATTTGATCACCTACCAACCAGTAAGAATTCCGGCTCTCACAGACCTGTTAGTTTTTCTTTAAGAAGCCCTCCTGTTCTCCACTCATTACCTGTATTAACTGCACCTGTTTGAACTCGTTACCTGTATAAAAGACACCTGTCCACACACTCAATCAAACAGACTCCAACCTCTCCACAATGGCCAAGACCAGAGAGCTGTGTAAGGACATCAGGGATAAAATTGTAGACCTGCACAAGGCTGGGATGGGCTACAGGACAATAGGCAAGCAGCTTGGTGAGAAGGCAACAACTGTTGGCGCAATTATTAGAAAATGGAAGAAGTGCAAAACCATTAGTAACACACTACGCCGTCATGGATTAAAATCCTGCAGCGCACGCAAGGTCCCCCTGCTCAAACCAGCGGATGTCCAGGCCTGTCTGAAGTTTGCCAATGACCATCTGGATGATCCAGAGGAGGAATGGGAGAAGGTCATGTGGTCTGATGAGACAAAAATAGAGCTTTTTGGTCTAAACTCCACTCGCCGTGTTTGGAGGAAGAAGAAGGATGAGTACAACCCCAAGAACACCATCCCAACCGTGAATCATGGAGGTGGAAACATCATTCTTTGGGGATGCTTTTCTGCAAAGGGGACAGGACGATTGCACCGTATTGAGGGGAGGATGGATGGGGCCATGTATCGCGAGATCTTGGCCAACAACCTCCTTCCCTCAGTAAGAGCATTGAAGATGGGTCGTGGCTGGGTCTTCCAGCATGACAACGACCCGAAACACACAGCCAGGGCAACTAAGGAGTGGCTCCGTAAGAAGCATCTCAAGGTCCTGGAGTGGCCTAGCCAGTCTCCAGACCTGAATCCAATAGAAAATCTTTGGAGGGAGCTGAAAGTCCGTATTGCCCAGCGACAGCCCCGAAACCTGAAGGATCTGGAGAAGGTCTGTATGGAGGAGTGGGCCAAAATCCCTGCTGCAGTGTGTGCAAACCTGGTCAAGACCTACAGGAAACATATGATCTCTGTAATTGCAAACAAAGGTTTCTGTACCAAATATTAAGTTCTGCTTTTCTGATGTATCAAATACTTATGTCATGCAATAAAATGCAAATTAATTACTTAAAAATCATACAATGTGATTTTCTGGATTTTTGTTTTAGATTCCGTCTCTCACAGTTGAAGTGTACCTATGATAAAAATTACAGACCTCTACATGCTTTGTAAGTAGGAAAACCTGCAAAATCGGCAGTGTATCAAATACTTGTTCTCCCCACTGTAGATGCATTGAAAGAAAGGAAAGTATGACAACAATACATATAGGTAATAGTCTCACTTGACTCCAGCAGAGAAGCTGACCACTGGGAAGAGCAGTCCGTCAGTGTTGAAGTTCTCCAGCATGCCCTGAACTGGCTGCCCGTTGACCCGGAAGGAAATGCAGGGGGCAACGAGGTCAATGCAGCAGCTGACCACATCGTCCTCCCTCAGCAGGTGGTGATAAAGAGAGCTCACTCTCCGGCCAACACAGCCTGATGTACAGGACAGATAGAGTACCAGACTTCACATTCATAGTTGGCAGACGTATATTCTGTACAAAATGCTTTTCCCTGCAACTTGAGTAATAAAACAAAATAAACTAATAACAAAAAGTTAACGGCAAAAATGACAGATGCATTTGCTTCATGATTGTGAAGACTTTTATTTCAATGAAACTGCTCCTATCCCACACATAATAACACCAGCGCACATTCAATAATCTTCCCTTCACGTAGTGTTCCCTCACCTGACCAGAGGTACAGCCCGTCAAAGCCATAGGACCAGAGGTCATCTCCTACCCCGTTGCCCCCCCAGCCCTCTCCACCCGTGGGATAGGGGTGGTACCCCTCAGTGTTGGCCCAGCCCACACGCAGGTGAGTGGGCTCAGCCGTGAGGAAGGGCTCCACCTGGTCTACAGTCATCTCATAGTACCACCTCCTGTACTGGACCGAGTCATCACCCAGGGCCAGGAAGATGTTGGGCCTCATGCTTTGGTAAAGAGGAGAGGGGAGATGTGTGATGAATACAGTTCCTCTTTACTTTCAGCAACTGGACAAAATACTTATGACAATGGAGCACTTGTTTGTCTTATAGTGATTGGTCTAACAGATATTAGTTTAATTGGTTTGTTTCTTTCTTATTTTGTTTGTTTGTTTTACTAGAGGGAATTGTGTTGTTTTTGTTCAGGAGGGATGAATAAAGGGGTAATGGGGATAATGTTAGCGCCCTATTCAATAAACATGTGGAAACCACTTTAAAGAAGAAAAGCTATCAGATTTGGAGGGCTTGAATAAAAAGTAAGCCCAAACCAGATGGCGTATCGCTGCAGAATGCTGTGGTAGCCATGCTGGTTAAGTGTGCTTTGAATTCTAAATAAATCACCAGTAAAGCACCCCCACACCATAACACCTCCTCCTCCATGCTTTACGGTGGGAAATACACAAGCGGAGATCATCCGTTCACCCACACCGCATCTCACAAAGACACAGCGGTTGGAACCAAAGGACACATTTCCACCAGTCTAATGTCCATTGCGCTTGTGTCTTGGCCCAAGCAAGTCTCTTCTTATTATTGATGTCCTTTAGTAGTGGTTTCTTTGCAGCAATTCGACCATGAAGGCCTGATTCACATCCGTTCACCTACTCTGCGTCTCACAAAGACACGGTGGTTGGAACCAAAAATCTCAAATTTGGACTCAGACCAAAGGACACATTTCCACCAATCTACTGTCCATTGCCTGTGTTTCTTGGTCCAATCCAGTCTCTTCTTCTTATTGGTGTCCTTTAGTAGTGGTTTCTTTGCAGTAATTCGACCATGAAGGCCTGATTCACGCAGTCTCCTCTGAAAAGTTGATGTTGAGATGTGTCTGTTACTTGAACTCTGTGAAGCATTTATTTGGGCTGCAATTTCTGAGGCTGGTAGCTCTAATGAACTTATCCTCTGCAGCAGAGGTAACTCTGGGTCTTCCATTCCTGTGGCGGTCCTCATGAAAGCCAGTTTCATTATAGCGCTTTATGGTTTTTGCGACTGCAATTGAAGAAACTTTCAAAGTTATTGAAATGTTCTGTATTGACTGACCTTCATGTCTTAAAGTAATGATGAACTGGCTATCTTCCGTATACCCCCCCTACCTTGTCACAACACAACTAATTGGCCACAAATTAACTTTTAAGAAGGCACACCTGTTAATTAAAATGCATTCCAGGTGACAACCTCATGAAGCTAGTTGAGAGAATGCCAAGAGTGTGCAAAGCTGTCATCAAGGCAGGGGGTGGCTATTTGAAGAATCTCTAGTATAAAATATATTTTGATCTGTTTAACACTTTTTTGGTTACTACATTATTCCATAGGTGTTATTTCATAGTTTTGATGTCTTCACTATTATTCTACAATGTAGAAAATAGTAAGAAATAAAGAAAAACCCTTGAATGAGTAGGTGTTCTAAAACGTTTGACCGGTAGTGTATGCGAGGGAAATATTCCTCTCGAGGTGCATTCAAGTTACGAGTGCCATAGGGAGGGAAACATGTATTCTGACAAGTACTCAATGCACAACAATTCTTGCAATCGCGGGGAAAACAGCAGTTCTGCTCTCTTCCTGATGGCATTTGCTATCGCCTTAGTCACGTGGTTTCATATTATCATGTTGAAATGATCATAAATATATGATAACTAATTTCCAATCAAATGCTCATCTTCTCTGTATATTTGATGGTGAAGGATTATTCTTTCAATAGAAAGGTGTATGTATGTAAGTATGTGGTCACTGGCATTGGTTTTATTGGTATGGTCATCATTACTTTGATGACATCTCTGATATGTGTACCATATAATCATTTTATATGAAGGGCATTCTGGAGCGTGTATTATTTCCCTATATTTGCACGGTACAATTCAATGGCTATAGTTCATACATGTTCTATGTTTGAGCTGCTTTTGAAAGCAAAAGTCCAATTGAAAACATTATTGGCATTGTTGAATTCAATTTTAATAATAATAATTAATAATAATAATAATATATTTTCAATATATATTTTCATAATAGCAAGCTAGGACTGATGGTTTGGTTAGCTAAACTAGCAAGTCTGTTTGTTTGGTTACCAATGCAACTACAGTCGCGATCTAGAAACTTGCTAGCTACTTCAGTGGATGTTGAACACATTTCTATCTGCAAATGAACACATTTCTAACTGCAAATGAACACATTTCTAACGGCAAATATGTTTAATTAGAGCCATGGTATAAAAGGGATAATCAACTCGGGGCTCTATGTGTTCTCCGTGGAAGGTTAGTTCCACTCCGCTAGCATTGTGGAACACACCTTCCACGTCGTTCATTATTTTCCAGAGAACGCATAGCCCCTCGTTGATTATCCCTTACATATTTCTATGATGTGTACCATGCTGCACAGAACTATAGTCATGGGTATCAAACATTATGTCAGAATGTTGTCAGTGATTGTTGACAAAGTAACTCTAGAAAAAAGTGTCTATGGCAACATGACCCAGTGCAATGTCACAATGTAATTCTAATTAAATATAGACTAGAAAACAGAAGAGAGACAGTTGGAAATAAGCGATAGCACTACGAAAATGAGTGCTCCCTGTAGGTTGAATATGATGGACGAGCTGAGAAAGGAGTTGGTGGGACGGGAGGAAAGTGTGAGAGAACGAGAGAGGAAGGTAGAGGAAAAGAGACAGAGAAAAGACAGGAGAATGAGGGAAATGGAGACTATTGCCAAGATCAGGGAGACTGAGAGGGCAGAAATGGAGAGAGAGAAACTAAAAAGGGAGAAAAAGATACAGAGGGAGTTGGACAGGAAGAGGGATGAGTTTCGGAAAGAGATGGAGAGTTCCCTCGATCAAAGGGTAGAAGAAGAAAAGAGGAGGCTGGAGATGGAGATGAAGAAAATGGAGGAGGAGAAGAGAGAAAAAGAGGCTGGAAATGGAGGCCAGACTGGCTGAGACCCTGAGACGTCTAGAGAAATAAATGAAGGTGAGAGAGATGGAGATGGGGGGAGCATCTGAGCCTCCCAGGCAAGGAGAGCAGGGTTGGAGAGAAGGGAATAAAAATGAAGGAGAGGAGAAAGAGAAGGACCAAGCAAAGCAGGATAACCTTTAAGGAGAGGAAGAGTACAGCGGGAGCATTAAGAGCAGAGAGAAGGAGCAGGGGAGCGGTGAATATATAAAGAGCTGTGGGAGTGACAGAGACGTTGCTTGTGAATTTGCCTTTGAGAGCTCAGAAGATGAAGAGCAGTCAAGTGTTGAAATGGAAAACAAGGATATCAAAGCTAAAGGGTACGAAAAGTCAAAAATGTTATGTAACAATGTTATGTAACAAACTAAGGTGTTTTGATGACACTTTCACAGAAGCAGTTTTTCTTTAAATAACCATGGCAATACTTGGGAAGTAAACTTATGTATTAAGGAATGGAAATGTCAACCTCCCAAGTGGCGCATCGATCCCAGGCTGTGTCACAACCAGCCTTGACCGTGAGTCTCATAGGGTGGCGCACAATTGGCCCAGCGTCGTCCGGGTTAGGGGAGGGTTTGGCTGAGGGGGGCTTTACTTGGCTTATTGTGCTCTAGTGACTCCTTGTGGCGGGAGTGCAGGCTGACTTCGGTTGTTTTCTCCGACACAGTGGTGCGGCTGGCTTCCAGGTTAAGCGGGTGGGTGTTAAGAAGCGCGGTTTGGCGGGTCATGTTTCTGGAGGACGCATGACTCAACTTTCTCCTCTCCCGAGCCTGTCGGGGAGTTGCAGCGATGAGACAAGATTGTAATTGGATAGCACAAAATTGGAGAGAAAAAGCGGCTAAAAAGAAAATACAAAAAAAATGGAAAAGTCAGTGTGAGTCAGAGGGTGATTAACGGTTGTGTACCTGGTGACCTGGTTAACGAGGCGAGTCTGGAGAAGCAGGTCTCGCTCTGGTAGCAGGTTATCACAGATCAGATGCTGGTTGGAACGCACTGCCATACCGTGACACACACAGAGAGAACACAGCACATCCAGGACCTGGGATAAAACCACAAACAGGTTAATATGTCAATAAATCAAGTTAATATTTCAATAAAACACAATTAATTAACAGAGAAATGATACTGAGAGAGTATCTACCTTATGGTTCCGCCCATGCTTATCCAGTAGAGAGATTATGGATTTAATGTGTCCTTCCTTTATAAAGTTGAGAGTCTCAGGACTCTCCACAAGGACACAGTGTAAAACCTCCAGGACCCCTACACAACAGACACAACTTAGTGGCAGCATCTACATGTAACATCTAATGTGTGTCACCCCTTACTGAAGAATCACATGAATTTCACATGATCACATGTGAAGTGTTCCAAAAACACGTTTAAAATCAACGATGCAAATAGTCCGGGTAGCCATGATTAGCTGTTCAGGAGTCTTATGGCTTTGGGGGTAGAAGCCATTTCATGTGAAAACGTGATCTTATGTGAAGTTAATGTGATAACATGCGACAACACATAAAGCAACATGTGATGACATGAAACTAACCATGTGAAGAGTTCCAAAAACGTGAAATTTCACATGAAATCATGTGGTTTTTCTGTAAGGGACTATTCTTGTCCTAAGAGGTAATGGGTAAAAGTAGAACCCCAAAATGATGCACTTACCAGTGGAGGCCTCCAGTCTCTCCAGCCTGCTCACCAGCCAGTCCAGGGAGCCTGAGAACTGGGCACAATTCCTGCGATTTCCCCTGATAAGAACAGCTTGAGGGGAATAGAAAACAAAGGATGAAACTATGAAACTAAGTATGACTTTTTACTTGTAGATCTGTACAGATTTCCCATGCATCATTTGCTTGTAGTCAGTCGAATGCGGGGTGGTAGTGCATGAAGATCTTATTGACAGATGTCACAGAGTATTTGATGCTGAGTCTCACCCAGTAGTTCATAGAAGGAGTTGAGGATGTTCTCCCACTCATCTCCTGCCTCCTTCCCAGCAGCTACAGCAAAATGAGATGCGCTGCTGTACAGGTGTAAACGATCAATGCAGTCAAGGACCAAACCGATGACCCCCTGAAAGAGAAAGAGATATCAATAGATAAAATAGCACAATTCTGAACAAAAACATCCCTGACAATACAAATGCAGAAGACGTATTTTGTTGAGTCACTTCTGGGGACAGTAGATTCAAGGGCCTCAAGGCTATAGAAATCACTATTACCTCCTCTTGAAATAGATTCTGTCTGTTCTTCAGCGCTCGCACACTGTTCTGCTTGGCCTCATGTCCTAGCCCCTCCCCAGGTGGCTGGAAGTAGCCAATCAGATCCTGCAGACTCAGGCCCACTGTCTCCAGTGGCAAGTTGAAGGAGGGGATGTTCCCTCGCTGACTGAGACCATCAAGTCTCCTAAAAACAAGAGAGGAGATTGAGAGAAGATAGAAAATATTAAATTAACAATTTATACATTACATAGATTTTTTGTTTCCAGGCCTTGCTAATACAAGCCCAAATGTCCACAAACTACACAATGGCTCCATCACACTCTGCACTCTCAACCAATCACACTGTTACCTCAGCTAAATCCCTCACTGGGGGAACCCAGTTAGCCAGGTTTCCCAGAGGGCTGTGTGATGGCCTACCTGATGAAGTCTGTGAAGAGGAGGACGGTGCTGCGGATGAGTCTGGCCGTGTGGGACTCCTCCCTCTGAGAACGGGACAGGCTCAGACCGTCATCCATGTGACCCTCACTGTGCATAATTGCCTAGAGAAAAGGTCATAGGACAATGTGACAACAAAACACAATACAGTACATATTTAGCAGCAAAAAAAGTATACAAATAAAAGCTACGCATATGTCCAAGCAATGACTCAAATACTGAGTAAGCCTACAGTGTGAAATAAGTACTGGAAAAATACAATATATTACCTTGCGCTGCACTGCTCCCAAGCGGGCACACTTGGCATCGATGGCTTGGTAGGTGAGCCATAGACCAGAGTCCACATGCTGGACGTAGCACATGGAGTCTCCATACTTGATCTCTGGGGCACCCATACCATCAATGTCCTTCTTTGGGCCAAATTCTAGCTTCTCCTAAAGATTGATGTGGAAATGTAATTCTGGTCAACATCAACAATTGACACAGCTGGGTATCAGATATGGCCTATGTATTTGGGGTAGACAAAAAACAGTGAATTTGGTATTTGACCTCAGACCTTGGAGGGTCGGAAGCAGAAGGATGTGGACTTCACGTCAGCCCTCTCCCTGTCCACCAGGTGAAGGCCTCTCTCCTCGGTCAGACTCAAGTACCTCCCTGTGGTGACATGGCGGAGCCGGAATGGCTGACCCCAGCGTGTGTGGCTACTACTCCAGCTGTTGGAAATAGTTGTTATGCTCAGTCAGCTGGAGCTCAGTCAGTATGCAGTAAGTGCATGGAGCTACGGCAGCAGCGGTAAGGAGAGGGAAGAATGCTGTCCGCACTCAAATCCTATCATTATTTTTGCAGTGTGCAAACAGTATTACCTCATCTTACCGTTACCACTGTACCTGACCAAATACAAGTGAGCGCATCTTTAACGACCACAGATACACATGCCTGCATCTTATGGGGTGGATTTGGAAAATCAGTGTATGAGGGGTATGAGAAAGAGATGTGAGAGACTTACGCAACACGCAGTATCTCCAGCCTCCAGAGAGAGCGGGCATGACTGGACACTGCTCCACCCTCATAGTGCACCGCCCTGGGGACATGAGCGAGAGCGAGAGAGTGAGAGATGAGAGAGCACAGGCTTGCATGAGTGAATGATTGGGAGCATTTAAATAATCAAAATGCTTGGTCGTGTATGAGATGTGTATGGGTGTGACTCTGTGACTTACTTGCGTAGCTCCTCCCCCTGGTCTGTAGACGGGACAGTCAGACACTCGTCTGTGTGTCCATGCAGCAGCCTCAACGTGTCCCCACCCTTCAGATACCCTATGATTAGCACACAAAGGAAAGTCAAGGACTACAATCAAGAAATAACACGTAATAATATCCCATATAGAATACACTCCCAAAATGGCAGCAGCTGTAATGTGCATATAGGTTGTGTTCTCTGTAATGACAGAAAGAGGCAACCTGCCTTGAGCAACTCCACTCCCAGAACAGATGGGGGCGACCCTCCAGAGGGTCTGCTGGAAGGCTGCGTCCACAATAAGACTGCCACTCTCACTCGTATTGTCTATCACACTTCCATAGGACATATGCTGCATGAAAACAAGATCATGACAGCTATGGAGGATCGAGAGATCAGGACTAACAAGGATTACACATAATGGAAACAGTTTCTAAATAAACCATCCATGAAGTGGCTGTTATTATTCAGACACTATTGAAGTTTATTCAAACATTAGCACGTTAGCTATGTCTCTCCTCTTTGAAGGGTACCTGCCTTGTCTGCCTTGCCTGACATCTCATTATATATCTTCATGCACTTCTCTGGTCACTCACCAGGTATCTCTCAGATGACACACTGACCAGGATGAGGTCGTCCCCGACACGGACCTTCTCCCCCTCTGACCTCTGCTTGGACGCAGGGTGAATGGTCCACCAGCATGCCTCACCTGGACACACAGGTCATTTTTATTTTATTTGTTTGGAATGTGGTTTATTGCCAGAACAGAGGACATACTACTCATAGGCCTACTGAATCTAAACATCATCAAAATAAGCACTTTCTGATGTTTCACCGAGCACTAGAACACATCTTTAAAATGATGCGAAATACCTGTTTTATCATCCTGCAGACCAACATCAAACGCTAGCTTATCTGTCGTAGACTGGGATGTGGACAAACAGCAAAGATACTGAAGAAGCAGAAAACATAGGAAACCTTGAACAATCCCTTATGACTGGAATACACGGCATAATCACACACATGAGTGCCCTCGTGCGATTGACACAACCAAAATGAAAAGTCTTAGTTCTCCAGAGAGAGAACGCTCACCATCCTGCTGTAGGAGTGTATGAGTAGTACAGCATGACCGTAGAGGAGGGTGCGATGACCACCTCCCTGTCCAGCCTGCACAACACAACATAACTAGGGCTTTTATTAGAATACAACTATGAACCATGACTTCATAGAAATCCCTTATAGTTAGGCAGCGTCTCATATTGGAATGAGACCCAAGCTGTTAGCTCACCCCTGCTGCTTTGTCCTCCCTGTTAGCCAGCATCTCCTGCAGAGCTCTGACAGACAGACACTGGGCCAGCACAAAGGAACACACTGACAGGTCTGGAGGAATATTCTGGGGAACACAGTGCACACATTCCTGATGAATCAGACTCTTATCAATCCTCTGATCTGGCATTCTCTGATTCCAAAGACCATGCTGTGGGATTAAGCTTTACCTTGCAGTTGGAGGTGGACTCCAGACAGCAGAGTCTGCAGCCAAAGCCCTCTGCAGCCAGGCACAGCTTCAGATGCTCCTGTTGGGACGTGAAGATGCACTGCAGCACCACCTCATCATTCTGACAGAGGCAGGGGCACAGAGTAGACCACATCAGACCACATTGCTGTTAATAAATATTGTGAGCTAGTTGTTTTCACCTGAAAAATGTCCAATGAGACTGACAGAATTCATTTCATGCTGTAAAACTAACTTAGACAGTACTTTATGTAACAATGAGCGGTTAACTCCTTTTTAAAGTGCACTCCAAGGGAGTCAGGTCACAGCCATATAAGGAGAGCTGAGAGACTGTGGAGAGAGAAGGAGGGAATAGCAGCCAGACTGGAACACCTCTCAGTGCCCAGGGCATGATGCCACCACTGAGGTGTCACTGTGTTGTCTGACCCCTGCCTCACCCTCCATTCCACCCTACTATCAGCAACCTCTGGACTTTATCAGTCACACTGCACAGTACAACCACTTAGGGACCTAACTGTGTAAGGAATAGGGCTCAGAGCTGGCTGGGGTCAAGAACGCCATTTCCACTCAGACCATAAATTGAAAATGGTCAATATCCCATAAGCTTTCAAAGGGTCTGAATTGGTGCTGACCTCAATCTTGCATTGTAAAGTCAGGTCAGGGCAGGGCAGAGAGGCTAACATGACCCATCACAAGTTCTTTACGAGCAGAGATAAGGGCCACAGCAAAATCAGTGTTTCCCCTATATTCATTTAGCAGCGGCGGGCCGCCACTTCTAAATTATTGCCACCACTCCAAAAAATATGATAAAAAATTATAATAATTTAGAAAATAATTGTAGGGATGGTAAAACGTTTTAGTATAAACTTAAATGACTAAAACCAGATATACAGTACTGTACCTCATTTACATAAGTATTCACACCCCTGAGTCAATAATTTGTAGAAGCACCTTTGGCAGCGATTACATGTGTGAGTTTTTCTGGGTAAGTCTCTTAGAGCTTTCCACACCTGGATTGTGCAATATTTGGCCATTATTATTTTCAAAATTCTTCAAGCTCTGTCAGATTGGTTGTTGATCATTGCTAGACAACCAATTTTCAGGTCTTGCCATAGATTTTCAAGTAGATTTAAGTCAAAACTGTAACTGTCTTCTTGGTAATTTTTTATCCTGAAGAACTCCCCAGTCCTTAACAATTACAAGCATACTCATAACATGATGCAGCCACCACTATGCTTGAAAATATGGAGAGTGGTACTCAGTAATGTGTTGTATTGGATTTGCCCCAAACGTAACACTTTGTATTCAGGACAAAAAGTGAATTGCATTGCCACATCTTTGCAGTATTACTTTAGTGCCTTGTTGCAAACAGGATGCATGTTTTGGAATATTTATATTCTGTACGAACGTCCTTCTTTTCACTCTGTTAATTAGGTTATTATTATGGCATAACTACAATGTTGTTGATCCATCCTCAGTTTTCTCCTATCACAACCATTAAACTCCGTAACTGTTTTAAAGTCCCCATTGGTCTCATGGTGAAATCCCTGAGCAGTTTCCTTCCTTTCCAGCAACTGTGTTAGGAAGGATGACTTTATCTTTGTAGTGACTGGGTATATTGATAGTCCATCTAAAGTGTAATTAATAACTTCACCATACTCAAAGGGATATTCAATGTACTCAAAGGGATATTCAATGTCTGCTTTTTTTTTTTACCCATCTACCAATAGGTGCCCTTCTTTGCGAGGCATTGGAAAACCTCCCTGGTCTTTGTGGTTGAATCTTTGTTTGAAATTCACTGTTCGACTGAGGGACGTTACAGATAATTGTATATGTGGGGTACAGAGATGAGGTAGTTATCAAAAAATCATGTTAAACACTATTATTGCACACGGAGTGAATCCATGCTACTTATTATGTGACTTGTTAAGCACATTTTTACTGCTGAACTTATTTAGGTTTGCCATAACAAAGGGTTTGAATACTTATTGACTCAAGACATTTCAGCATTTCATTTTTAATTAATTTGTACAAATTTCCAAAAACATAATTCCACTTTGACATTATGGGGTATTGTGTGTAGGCCAGTGACAAAAAATCAATTTTAAATTCAGGCTGTAACACAACAATGTGGAAAAAGTCAAGGGGTGTGAATACTTTATGAAGGCACTGTAAGAACACGGTGTAAGCCATGGCAAAATGTGCAGAATTGCAGGAAATGAGCATTAAAACTACAAATTGTCTTTCAGCCCGTTGGCAAATTTTCTCTCAACTTTGCCACCACTGCTTAAAAAAATAATCGGGGAAACACTGAAAATGAGCTGCAAACTTAGTTTCAGAAACTTTTAGTATGGGCTGAGAGACCAAAATGCCCTCACCAGTAACTGTCACCATGGCCCTCACCAGTCAACCGAAGCATGACTGTCCCACACATCATCAGCCAGCACTCCACTAGTGACATGTCTTTATCAGAGGGCTGAGATACCAAGCCCTGAGAGGAGTGTAGTGAAAATACAGTTAAAAATAGAACCAATGCTAAAGCTCAATTTACTCTAGCCCATGAAGTGGCACAGAAACAATGAAATAAACTAATATATTTCTACAAAAGTAGGTTTGTGAGTGAATTTGGAGTAAAGGTCAGCAGGTCATTTGCCAGAGTGACTAAAAAAGAGGGAGATATGGCTGTTGTTATTCTCTCAAATGAGAGGAGAGCAATAGAGAGAGTAAAAATTATGTAATTTACAATCTTATTTTTTTTGCAATTAAACATGTCATGGTAGCATACACACATCTGTTTTTAAGACAAGTAATAGCCATTCAACACAGCCTAGTAACTTTCAAATAGACTAAAATGAAACAGTTTCTTCTCTAAACTCTCTATCATGAAAACATGGCTTGGTTTTTCTTATTTGTATAAGTAACTTTCAAAGGAGTGTATGACTGTGGGAAAAAGTTAACAAGTAAAAAAGCATGTACACCTGAAAATTGTTGCCCAAAGTACCAGTGATTATTATACAGTAGCCACCTGTAAATGGTTATTTTTCTGGCTACCGTATCGATACACTGCATAACGCAACCTTCTTCCAACTTTCCCACAAATGCCACCCCCAGTGTTAAATTCTCGGTAGCATTAGCCTACTTACCGTACGTAGAAATTGGATTTCATCTTCGCTTTCTCCCGATTCAGCCATGTCCAAACATGTAAAACAGTTCACTGTCTGAAGGCCTAGTTGAAAAAGAATCAGTGAGATTGACCAACGCTCACTGGGTGGCGCCTTATCATTTTTGACCCAGAGCGCGCTTGGCAGGTAAAAATAGGCTACAGTCCACAACCACGCACGTGCATCGACCAACCTGAGCAATTCCGTGCATTAAAAGTGCAATCTGCTGAATTTACTGTTGCTCAATGGTTTGGCCACCCATTTTCTTGCAGAACATAAAAAGGACACATTGTCTCACAGGCAGCCAAGGGAGGTGATAGGACAGGTAGGCCTATTGCACATGAGGCAAGACGATTTATTGAATAGTGCAGAGTAGGCCTAATTAATAAGACTTGCCACAGCAAAGGTTCCCACTTTAAATATTGTAACAATTATTTATTGTTATTATTCTTTGGAATGCTACTCCTCTGACACCTTTAAACTGGAAATGCCATTCACACTTTAAAACGTGCAAATAAAAACACTTTTTGATAACGTTGATACTTTTTAAACTAATCCACTTTAATGGGATTTCTTCAACATTGTAATGCTCATTGTTATAAATTGACTTACAACATTATATTCACAGTAAACAATGTAAGTTTTGACACAAATCAGCTACTTTGACCACTTTCCCAACAAGTTAGACAATAACTTAGAGCGCATTACATCTTAGTCTACTTCTCTGCTTTCCAAATCTGAAATCAGAAAGAAATACATTTTACCAATCGAATTTTAACACTAGGGGAGCACATAAGACTGATTATGCCACAGAGCTCACCCCAACCCTCTAACGTAACCCACTATAACAACCCCCAAGGGCGTGGGACCCAGAGGGAACAGGGGGGAAATGTCCCCCCACAATGTTAGAAGTAGGTAAAATGGTTGCCCCCAATAAAATACATTTTTGAAAAACGAGTCGCCAGATTCTTTGAGGGACTTTAATTTAGAAAATGCCTCTGCTGCTGGAACGTGAGTCACTTCCCCCTCCCCCACTGACTGCTTCGTTTTCACTCTCGGTTGTTACAAGCAGAGTGGCAGTTTGTGACTGAGATGCTCGGGTGGTTGATGTCCTTGATGATCTTTTTGGCCTTCCTGTGACATCGGGTGCTGTAGGTGTCTTGGAGGGCGGGTAGTTTGCCCCCGGTAATGCGTTCGGCAGACCGCACCACCCTCTGGAGAGCCCTGCGGTTGCGGGCGGTGCAGTTGCCGTACCAGGCGGTGATACAGGCACATCAATTGAACGTCTATTCCACATTGGTTCAACGTTATTTCATTGAAATGACGTGAAAAAAACATTGATTCAATCAGTGTGTGCCCAGTGGGGTAGGTCAAAAGTGGTGATAACGTAGCCTAGTTACCTGACACCACCTGTTTATGCAGTGTATGGGGATAGTATGTGCTCAATACTAAAGGAGAAAAAAATATTGTTCCAAAGAAAGACACTTGGGCTCAGTGTGACTTTGCACATAACCTGTAGCGAAATAAATTGGACCAAACTTGACATATCGTACCATACATCTGTCTGTTCCCATACATCTGTCTGTTCCTGGCCTTCTCATCTGAAGAGCTGAAACTAATTAACTGACTTAAATACCCCTCTTTGTCAGAAAGCCTGCACTTGTGGAATATAGGCCTACTATCCTCATACACTGCATTAACAGGTGGTGTCAGGTAACTAGGCTACGTTATCACCACTTTTGCCCTAACCCACTGGGCACACACTGATTGAATCAATGTTGTTTTCACGTCATTTCAATGAAATTACGTTGAACCAACGTGGAATAGACGTTCAATTGATGTGCCTAGTGGGACATTACCATGTTGGCACAAAAGTAGTCAATAAATGAATGTGTGTCTTACAAAGTCTTCTCAAAAGTAAACACCCCATCGCGGCACGACAATGTATACGCTTTTTCATAAACTACTACCTGCGCTCCACTGGGAGCATGCACACTTAAGTTACATACCCCTGCCCTGGGAAACATAGAAGTGATACAGGTAAGAAAAGTTTTTAGTGAATACTGGATTGATAACAAAAATTTCTCAAAGGCAGGGAAATATTGACAACAATTTTACTGTAATGAGCTAAAGGGAATATGTCTGAGATATGAATATGTTAACAACTGTCAGTGTATGCTCGGAAATTAGTCTCTGTTCTAGACCTACTGCCGCCAGATGGCACTATGATTCCTTACGTAGCGAGGAATCATAGTGCCATCTACGTAAGGAATCATAGTGCCATCTACGTAAGGAATCATAGTGCCATCTACGTAAGGAATCATAGTGCCATCTACGTAAGGAATCATAGTGCCCTCTACGTAAGGAATCATAGTGCCATCTACGTAAGGAATCATAGTGCCATCTACGTAAGGAATCATAGTGCCATCTACGTAAGGAATCATAGTGCCATCTACGTAAGGAATCATAGTGCCATCTACGTAAGGAATCATAGTGCCATCTACGTAAGGAATCATAGTGCCATCTACGTAAGGAATCATAGTGCCATCTACGTAAGGAATCATAGTGCCATCCACGTAAGGATTCATAGTGCCATCTACGTAAGGAATCATAGTGCCATCTACGTAAGGAATCATAGTGCCATCTACGTAAGGAATCGTAGTGCCATCTACGTAAGGAATCATAGTACCATCTACGTAAGGAATCATAGTGCCATCTACGTAAGGAATCATAGTGCCATCTACGTAAGGAATCATAGTGCCCTCTACGTAAGGAATCATAGTGCCATCTACGTAAGGAATCATAGTGCCATCTACGTAAGGAATCATAGTGCCATCTACGTAAGGAATCATAGTGCCATCTACGTAAGGAATCATAGTGCCATCTACGTAAGGAATCATAGTGCCATCTACATAAGGAATCATAGTGCCATCTACGTAAGGAATCATAGTGCCATCTACGTAAGGAATCATAGTGCCATCTACGTAAGGAATCATAGTGTCATCTGGCGGCAGTAGGGCTATCCTTGTCCGAGCATTCGCAAATGGTGTTTGCAAGATCAATGAGACATCTGACTGGCCTCATCTAGTAGACATTAGCATCAATAAACGCTGAAGCAAATGTTTTTCAGTGTGGGTCACACATTTTTATAGTTAATGTCTGACTGTATTTAGCAACATGACAGAGTTTGTATGTAGGGGAAACGGTGCACCACTACACACATTATGATGGCCCTCTCTGGGCTCATAATCACACTCATACAGGAAGCCTAGATTGATTTGCATAGCATACTGTAGCTCCTACCTACAGGAATGCTACCATTGACAGCCCTTGCCCTGCCAATCTTATCAAATGTAGGACATATTCACATCAGATTTTACAGACAGTTTTCATTTGATTATACAGATGTAGGATCTTAATTTGAGCCAGTCTGCTACAGCAGGAAAATAATCTTGCAGCAAAAGGAAATGTGAATTATTATGTGGATTATAATGAATGGACATTTTTGTAGGGGTTGATACATTTTTCATAAGTAAATATTAATCCTGAAATTTCAAAGTGGAAGCCTTTTTAAACTTTTAAACTTTTCACATGTCCTGCATCACATGAAAGTTCTCATGCAACTGGGTGATCAAATTAAGATCCAACATCTGTATCCATATGTTTGTGAATTTAATTTTCAGTTTCGTATACTGGTAGCCTACTTTAATCAACTGTAAGGAAGATAAATATGGCTTTTAAAGTCTAGGCCTACAAAAAGTATAGTTTCCACATTTCTACCCCAAAGAGAGAAACACAATGTTGTATTTAACTGCAATCTTTTAATATGTAAAGTAAAATAAACATGTGATAAGGGTTTATTGAATAATTGATTCACTTCAAAGTGCAAAGTATATTACTCTTGTCAAGATTACAGTGTCTCAAACAGTCACACATTTTTTTGCTTTGGATTGAATAGTACAGTGATTCTCTCCTCCCTCCCCATCTTCAACTGGGAAATCCCAACTGCTCCACAGGTGGCAGGCTATGAGAGTCAGGCTAAACCCACTGAGGTTTGATACAAAGTATGTTGGAATTTGATAGATTTATTTAAGGCAATAAGCAACATCATCAAAGAGGCAAAGCGGTTCATTTTGGTGAGACCAAACTCCTTTTGTTCTCAAATAAGAAAATGTTGCAATGTTTTCTCTTAGGCCCTATTCCCACTCCGAGATATGAAGGAGTCTGAGGAGCGGGGTGGCAAAGATAATTCTACTTTTCAATTCACATTAAATCCTTGCTTTACCTCAGAGAGGTGGCAAAGAGGCCCAACTCGGCTGAAAATCTGTCTCCCTCCAGCAGGTGCCGTTTTTTCGTTTTTTCGCCCACCAAGGAATTTTTGTATGTAGGTCAATGAGTGTCGAATTTGGTCAACTAAAAAATGAATGGCTTATTTGCTAAGTGAGGTTTATTTGATCAAATTGAAGTCACGTAATGCTTAAGTTGTCACTACTGTATTGATATAAGTAGGACACGTGACGGCAACTTTGAGAAAAAAAACCTTTATATTGGAGTTGTCTGGAGAGGCCTATTCATATTCATGAAATGAAGCTAGTAGCATAGCATCTCTCTCCATTGAATACATGTGGTTGACGTCAACAACTCTCATCGAATATTTTAAAAAGTATTAAAATTATGAGACGTATCCACCAATCCAAAGAAAGGACAGACGGGAGCTAGACAGCTCGCTGTGCCACTGGACAAAAACTCTCATTGTTAGGGCGGAGAGACAAGTATCTTGTCAGTATATCCATAATCTTTGCTTACCTTTTTTTTCGCTGGCAACGCAACATTCTTGGTCCATGACCACAGCTCAAATTGACCGTAAATATCACAGTAGCCACTAGCCAGTAAGCACAAACGATTCAACAATGACAGAAACTTTTCTTCTAAATCATATTACACTGTTGAATAATGCAACAATTAAAGGGGTTTATATTCTCGTATATAGGCTACACTCATTATATTTTAGCTTCAAGACAAAATCACAGAGTTGCTATAACAGCATGTCTTCATCAAGTAACGTTAGCTTATCAAAAATGAACGATTAACCCTCTCACACGAATATAAAAGTACAGAAGGCCTACCTTACAGCATTACAGCAAACCAGGCTTAATTTTGACAAAATCATGCAAATCATTACGAGGTAAAAGCAAATTGCGACTGAAAACGTAGGTTTTAGTGAATTTACCGTGATGAGCTGTTTTATATGGAAGCCCATAACTGCCACCAATTTAACTGAATTTTATGACTCATGATTTGTCAACATGCACAATTAATCTGTGCTTTCGTTTGTTCAACTGTAGCCTACGGATAACAACCACAGCTGCAGGTAGCCTAGAGAAGCAGCCTTTGCGCTCTGATCCTATCTGGGCCTGGCCAGGGGAAACGTAACATCATGGTTTTATAGCCTAAGCTATGTATTTATAGCCTAAAATAGGCCCATTTATTTGTGTTCTGAGAAAATGTGAATGTGATCATATTTGGTTTATATTCACACTTCGGGTGGCTAGGCTTGTCACACCCTGATCTGTTTCACCTGTCTTTGTGCTTGTCACCACCCCCCTCCAGGTGTCGCCCATCTTCCCCATTATCCCCTGTGTATTTATACCTGTGTTCTCTGTTTGTCTGTAGCCAGTTCGTCTTGGGTCGTCAAGCCTACCAGAGGTTTTCCCGTACTCCTGTTTTGCTCTAGCCCGTTTTCCAGTTTTTCCCGGCTTTGACCATTCTGCCTGTCCTGACCCTGAGCCTGCCTGCCATTCTGTACCTTGTGACACTGTTCTGGATTACCGACCTCTGCCTGCCCCGACCCTGAGCCTGCCTGCCGTTTCTGTACCTTTCGGACTCTGCTCTGGATTACTGACCTCTGCCTGCCCTTGACCTGTCGTTTGCCTGCCTCCTGTTTTTGTAAATAAACTTTTGCTATTTTGAACTGTCGGCATCTGGGTCTTATCCTGAGTTGTGATAAGGCCACCTAGGCCTTTTTAATAAAACAAGTATTGACTGGAATTAATCAATCAACACAATAGTGATGACATACAGTATGAGTATCTTTTTAATTACAGATGCAAAGGCCTAAATGATGCAATCCTGCATACAGCAAGCTCAGCTCTGTTAGTTTTTCTTTTTCAGTTTTTGTCCAATCGCAGTTTTTGTCTCTTTGTCTCTGTAAAGGGTTTTAATGTTTTCATCCTCCCTAGGGCCAGGAGTTTTCCAGGGGCTTTAAAAAAACACATATGACCTGATTAGAAAAAGAATCTGGTGCCATCTTTTTTTTACAGATGATTTATTACTATGTCATATGCTACAACTAGGGTCCGGAGTTGGTTAGGTTAGCCTACTACCAGATCATGAAAAACGTTGGGCCCTAGGAAAACAATTTCCCCCCACCACTCTGGGACCTGTGGTGCCACCTCTGAAATCACCACACAATGTTACAAATGAAAAAACAAAGCCATATTTGTATGATCTACACTACCAGTCAAAAGTTTGGACACACATACTCATTCAAGGGTGTAAAAAATGTTACATAGTTTTTCAACAGGACAATGACCCAACACACCTCCAGGCTGTGTAAGGGCTATTTTACCAAGAAGGAGAGTGCTGCATCAGATGACCTGCTCTCCACAATCCCCCGACCTCAACCCAATTGAGATGGTTTGGGATGAGTCGGACCGCAGAGTGAAGGAAAAGCAGCCAACAAGTGCTCAGCATATGTGGGAACTCCTTCAAGACTGTTAGAAAAGCATTCCAGGTGAAGCTGGTTGAGAGAATGCCAAGAGTGTGCAAAGCTGTCATCAAGGCAAAGGGTGGCTATTTGAAGAATCTCAAATATAAAATATATTTTGATTTGTTTAACACTTTTTTGGTTACTACATGATTCCATATGTGCTATTTCATAGTTTTGATGTCTTTAATATTATTCTACAATTTAGAAAATAGTAAAAATAAAGAAAAACCCTTGAATGAGTAGGTGTGTCCAAACGTTTGACTGGTACTGTACATTTTATATGTTTTTGGTGGTGAGGATGGGCTTCCATAGTTTTACGTGGCTCAGTGCAGCCGGCAGCTACTGCAATAATTTCAGAATGTAACAGGCTGTTACTGCAATTTCAGTCTCAAATATTAGGAAAATGTCTGTACATTTCAACTGTTTCAAAAACATTTCTCTGCTATTACCATTTATACTGTAGGAGTGTTGGCTCAATTAATGAGACAATTCTGTTTACACTGCCCTGCTTCAAGGGGGGCAGCTGTTGAGCGAGTGTTGTGCACTATACATGTGTAGCCGACATTTTTACGAAAAGAGTGTAGTAAGTGTGAAGAGACTTTTAGCTTTGGGTTTGAGAAATGTATATTGTGTGTGAACTGTGGAACTTATTGTTCAATCAATCACTCATAGCCTTTAGCCAAACTGTTCTTCATTTATATTGGGTAACTTGCGAGAAAGGTTTGCATAGAGCAGGCACCATGTGCTATGATTATATCACAAGTACATTTTGTTGACATAAACAACACGTTTGTCATTACTTTTTAGAATGGAGTATGAGAGTCACACTTGATAACCTTGACACATATATCAGTGTGCTATCATAGAACCTATTATGATACTTAAATGTCTTACTTTACTATCATTTCAATCAAGCTTTTGCTAAAATAGTCCAGATCTCTCAAATCAGCAAATGGATAATCCTGATGTTTGGGTCATCATATACCACTCTGTCTTATTACCAATCAGAACTCAGTAGTTCCTAATAAGGCACTGACAGGAGATGAGGAAACAACGTTTACTGATACTATTGTTCTGTAGTCAACTGTTCTATTATATCGAACTATTGCAGCTTATATGATCATATCATTTTTCTTAGCAGATAACAAAAACTGTGTTTCTATCTTCACTTCACCGCAGAACTCATATCAGGGAAACTATTGTGCCACACAATAGTAGGCAAATGTACAATATCTACCTAATGTGAATCTAACATAGCTAACTTCACCTTGCTTTTACAGTGTGTTTGGTTAAAGGGGATTTCATCCAGAAGTGTTGGGTGGGGTCAAAAGGTCAATCTTGAGGGTCATCTTGCGGGTTTAGAGGTCACTCTCTCCGTAGAGGGCAGTGGAGAAGTCGGTGTAGTCTAGCGCTCCCGCGGGTCCCCCTGGACCACTGTAGGGGGCCATCCTCAAGATGCAGTACTCTGCCTGGTCAGGGGGGAGCTCCCTCCTCAGCTCCTCAACCAGGATGTAGGGCTGTAGAGGGGGGAGAAGAACGGGGAGGGGGAGAGAACAGGGGCTCATTTAGGGAAGTCCGCTCTAGCAAATTTTCATCATCTGACAGAATAATATGTGTGTTTACCGTTATACTGAATGTGCCCCTTCTGTGTGATTGACATGGTCCACTCAATTGCCACACTCCCATTCACTTTCTCTCTCTCTCTCGCACACACACACCTTATCGGCTGCCAGAATCCTGAAGGATGCCATGACCTGGTCAGCGGTGTCTGTGTCAGCGGTTTCTCTGGTCATAAAATCGATAAAGGATTGGAATGACACTGTGCCAGTGGCACTGGGATCTACCAGCATCATGATGCGGGCAAATTCCACTTCACCCTGACAGTCAAAGAGAGAGAGAGAGATCAGGGAGAGAGATCAGAGAAAAGAACACTCATATCTTTATTCGTCATTACGTCATCACACATAGAATATTAATACCTCTTGGTATTAGTATGCATTGTTTGCGTACTGTAATTCTGTATGAGCACATTGAGACCCCTACCAAATCATAACCCATGGAGATCAGACAGGCCCTAAAGTCATCAGTGTCCATCGCCCCGTGTTTCTTCTGTAGTCAGAGGTCAAGGGTCGTAGGGTGGAGGTTGGGAGTGGGTCACCACACAGGGAGCAGAAGGGAGACCAGGAAGGGGAGAAGACCAAAGCTAACACAGAGACATGGACACACACACAACCAGACAGATGGACACAGTGACACAGTAACATTAGAAGACATGGAGAGAGAGACAATAAATACTTTAGGAGTCATTTCTAAATTAACTGTCATAACAGGCCAAAGCTGCTGCCACTAACATCGTCATGCTGTAGAGCCCACTGTCAAAATATTGATACAACTCAGAAAATATGATAGGTAGCAGCAGGTGTGGTCTGTTCTAGAAGGGATGGAAGAAGCCCAAGTCAGCAGCGAGAGGTCAGTCAGGGATCATGAAAGGTTAGAGGTCAGTAGGGTTGAGTACCTGATGGTCATTGCCCACATGACCCAGGCTGATCAGACAGGCCTTGAACTCCTCACGACGCAGTTTGCCTGTGTCCTCCTGGGGCCAGGTGTTAGAGGGGGTGTTAGTCGCACAGAACTGTCTCACACACACATGCAAGTGTCCATAACATGAAGCATTACAACAATGTGGAACCAATATCAGACATATACATTACACTATCATACAATAGTAGTTCTATTTGTATTATATTTTTTGACTGTCTAAACAACCAAGCCCAGAGAGCAGTGACCGTTGTAGTACAGTATCAACCACAATATATTACCCCAGTTTCCTTACGCAGCTTCTGGTATTATGCTACTTAACATGCCATTCAGGTTAAATGTTAATATATGAATCAGAGAACCCGGGAGTCCAGGGAGCGGAAGGAGCACTGTACCCGGTCAAAGTGGTTAAAGGAGGAGCGGAACTCATGCATCTGTTCCTGGCTGATGCCCTTGGCGTCGCGGGTCAGTATCTGGGTCTCGATCTCGTTGATGGTGCGGGCGATGGTGGTAAGGAGGAGCTCCCAGCCCACACGGATGTGCTGTTACCATGATGACAAGACACATAGACAGATATGGACTCAGACAAACAGTTATAGACACAGACAGATTAATCAGTTGCCAATGTTTCCCAACAATGCACTTTGGAATCTCGATGACATCCATCATCATTATCCCCATGACCACATCCAATCATCATAGACTGCATGCAGAGACCGTCTCTCTGTGGTGCTCTGCAGTACCTCCATGGTGTAGTTGGTGTGCTTGTTGTCAAACACCAGGGACTCCTGGATGAGCTGGTGGTCTCCCTCCAGCTTGTCGATGTTGGGCTTGTAGGTGACGATGACGTGCTCAAACTGCTTCAGCTGGGTCATCTGGTCCTCCAGGGTACCGCCCACCTCCAGGGAGCAGCGGCCAATCTCCTGTCAGAACAACGCACATGAGCAAGTCAGGTTTTTGTTCCGGTTCCAAAGGTACCCCTAGACCAGGGCTCTCCAACCCTGTTCCTGGAGCGCTACCATCCTGTAGGTTTTCACTCCAACCCTAATCTAGCACACCTGATTCTAATAATTAACTGGTTGATAAACTGAACCAGGTTAATTACAACTGGGGTTGGAGCAAAAACCTACCGGAGAGTAGCTCTCCAGGAACAGGGTTGGAGACCCCAGCCCTAGACACTAAACTGATGGCTGACTCTCTGACCTCCATCCTTGTCTGTATCCAGGGTCCGATGAGGTTAGCCTGGGCAGCAAATTGCCGTCTCAGCCTCTCGCTAGCATGCTGCCGGGCTAGCTCTTCCTGGAGGGAGCCTTCTCTCTGGGGAACCAGCTTCTTCACCTGGTCAGCAACATGGCGACAACACATACATCAATCTGACATAGAAAGTGACTATGTATGCGCATGCGTGTCTCAAGTGTACGTATGTGAATTTCGAGGTCCTACCTTGTCCCACTTGGCGAGGAGCTCCTCTGTGGTGATGGTGCTGTAGGGGTTGATTAGGTTGGCCTTGATGCCGTAGCTCTGAGAGATTTTCTGCACCTCCATGTGGATCCCGAGGATGGCCTGTCTCTCTCCGTCTGCCTCTGGGAGGGTGGCCTTGAACTGCTCATGGGCAGAGATCAGGCTCTGCAGAGGAGGAGGAGAGTAGAAGTTGCAGTGTTGGCTTGTACATTCAAGAACGTGGCAAGTAATGGGCACTGTGTCAAAATGACGTAACAGTTGTAACAACGATAGAATGATAAAAATATTAATAGCGAGTGATACGTACCTGGACCTCATCGATAGTGTGTACAATAAACATATCCTGCAGATCCTCCATGGCCCCTTCCATCCAGTTGTTGAAAGGTGCTGATCTCTTGGCAAACTCCAGGAACAACTGATCAATGGTTTCCAGCAATTTCTCTGTCCTCTGGAAAACAGAAGAGATAAAAACACTTGTCATTCATCCCATTGACAATTAATCAACATTGCCTGTTTGGACTGTTAATCCCAGGATGCATCACATTGACATGACCCAATTGACCCCTGAGTTGGCAAGGTGGTCTGCATGGATTAGACCCCTCCCTTTGGGCAGGGAGATGGGGCAGACAGCAGCCTAACCCCAAGCCTGGCTGTGGGTCTTGACACCTTTGTAGGTCATGAGCGCCCAGTAAGGATCAGAGGGGCTCAGAGGAAAAGGACTGTGGGTATCCTGCCAGCTAGATACTGGACAGGCAGCCATATCTAGATACAGTGTCTTCAGAAACTATCCATACCCCTTTACTTATTCCACATTTTGTGGTGTTACAGCCTGAACTCAAACTCAACTCTGTCAAATGTGTTGTTGATCATTGTTAGACAATCATTTTCAGGTGTTGCCATAGATTTTCAAGCAGATTTAAGTCAAAACTGTGCCTCGGCCACTCAGGAACATTCACTGTCTTCTTGGTAAGCAACTCCAATGTAGATTTGGTGTTTTAGGTTATTGTCCTGCTGAAAGGTGAATTCATCTCCCAGTGTCTGTTGGAAATCAGACTGAACCAGGTTTTCCTCTAGGATTTTGCCTGTACTTAGCTCCATTCAGTTTATTTTTTATCCCGAAAAACTCCACAGTCCTTAACGATTATAAGCATACCCATAACATGATGCAGCCACCACTATTCTTGAAAATATGGAGAGTGGTACTTAGTAATGTGTTGTGTTGGATTTGCCCCAAACATAACACTTTGTATTCAGGACAAAAAGTGAATTGCATTGCCACAATTCTTGCAGTATTACTTTAGTGCCTTGTTGCCAACAGGATGCATGTTTTGGAATATGTATATTCTGTACAGGCTTCCTTTTCCCTCTGTCAATTAGGTTAGTATTATGGGGTTACTACAATGTTGTTGATCCATCCTCAGTTTTCTCCTATCACAGCCATTAAACTCTGTAACTGTTTTAAAGTCACCATTGGCCTCATGGCAACTGAGTTAGGAAGGACGCCTGTGTCTTTGTAGTGACTGGGTGTATTCATACACCATCCAAAATGTAATTAATAACTTCACCATGCTCAAAGGGATATTCAATGTCTGTTTGTTTACAATCTACCAAAAGGTTCCCTTCGCGAGGCATTGGAAAACCTCCCTGGTCTTTGTGGTTGAATCTGTGTTTGAAATTCAGTGCTCAACTGAGGGACCTTACAGATAATTGTATGTGTGGGGTACAGAGATGAGGTAGTCATGCAAAAATCATGTTAAACACTATTATTGCAACTTTTGTGACTTGTTAAGCAAATTCTTTACTCATGAACTTATTTAGGCTTGCCATTACAAATGGGTTGAACACTTATTGACTCAAGACATTTCAGCTTACCATTTTTTATTAATTTGTAAGTAGTTCTAAAAACATAATTCCACTTTGACATTATGGGGTATTGTGTGTGTGTAGGCCAGTGACCATGAATCTCAATATAATCCATTTTAAATTCAGGCTGTAACACAACATAATGTGGAAAAAGTCAAGGGGTATGAATACTTTCTGAAGGAACTGTAAATGTGCCTTCATTTCATCCCCTTATCTCAATCAGCTGTCTTCATGCCCCACCCCTAGCTATCTCACTATAATATACATGAGATTTAGCTTTGTTATGGGTTAAGTAGTCCTGTGAACTATCCACCCCACCCCAAGGTAACGTCATTCACTGCTTAACCTCCTCAGCTCTCTTCTGGATTCATGGAACTGGTTCTCTTTCCAACACTACCAAGCTGTACTGTGCCGGCTAACTTTTCACTGGGCACAGCAGCTTAGCCCAGTTTAGCTTAGCTGGGAATATAACGTCATGTCCCAAACCTCAACCTCCTCCACTCACCTCCAGAGCCTCTCTCCTCTTCTGGGTCAGTGTACCAAGCTGATCCCACAGGTCACAGATTCTCTGGCACCTCTGGTTGACAGCAGCCACATCATGATAGTCCAGCTCACTGCACAACACCACAGGAAGCATATAGGTTAATGAAGAGCAACTTCAGACTGTTTGGTATAATTTAAATAGAATGCCAGTTGTAGTCCTTGTCAAAACCATGATTTTAGGAATAGGACTTGGTTGGGACGATGGTTGGGAGGGTTAGAGGAAGGGTCCGTACTTGAGCTCCTGTGCGATGGCAGCGATCTGCTCCACCCTGTCCTGGTGAGCAGCCAGATCACTCTCAAATGCCTCGTGTTTCCGTAGCAATGCCCGCACCTCCGTCAGGGTGGCTGTCTCGTAGTCCTTCTGAGATAGAATCAACTCTTTCCCTGGGTCATACACACACACAGAGAGAGAGAGAGAGAGAGAGAGAGAGAGAGAGAGAGGGGGGGGGGGGTCATGAACCTCCCATTAGCAAAAACAAATGCTGAAGATTTACTGACATTTTCCCATTGACAAATCTCAAAGGATTTGGAGCTAATCAATTACATTCAAACGTCAAACTCTAGACAAACCAGGAACATAAGTAAACCCTCCACAGACAGACAGACAATCATGTCCCAGACAGACCATTAGCCCAGGTCTCATGGGTGGTGGCTTTCTGGAGGAACTTTTCAGCCAGGTGGTCCAGTCTCTCCAGCCTGCGGATCTCTGTCAGAAGCCACTCCTCGTAGCCTTTCTCTGCACCCTCCAGCCCCTGCCATGCACTGGCTATGTCCTACAGCCACACAGAGACACAAAGACCCGGGTCAAAACCAGCAAAGCACCACGCTCAGTAGATAGGCTATTAAAAAGGCTTTTTAACTCTATCAGCATTTTGGTAAGAGTGCCATGGTGTTTACCTTTGGTATTTTGATGATCTATATCCATAGCTACTGTACTTCGACTGGTGGCTTGTGTTTCATCAGTTTGATATGATTTATCATTGAATGCTGGGTGTTTACACTTACAGACACCATCTTTCCCTCAGAGGGCATGAAGGCGGGACGGTTGCTGATGCGCAGCTTGGTCTGCAGGGTGTTGAAGCTGATCTCCAGCTGGCACTTCTCCTGCACCTTGGGGGGCTTGTGCATGCGGCGGTAGTCTCTGAAATCCTCCAGCTTCCTCTGCATCTCAACCATGGTTTTCTCTGCAGTTCTGTTCTCCAACCATGGGGTAGTCCGGCGGATCCACTCCAGTAGCTACGGAACACAGAGGGTGGTGATGGGGTGGAGCTTTGGGATTGATGTGTTGTCATTCATCTCAATTCTGTTAAGTTGAATTGGACATTGAATTTGATTTGAATACTGGGAAATTCCATTCCTACGAGTTTGTGTGAGACGGTGGACTTTTTGAGTATTCAGATTGGGGTAGAAGTAGCTCTCCTGAGAGAGTTCACCAATATGAAAGCATACGTCCAAATGTATGCTTCTGTGTTGCTTTACCTCGCTGGCCAGCCTCTCGTATTCCTCCATCAGTTTCTCATTCTCCTGGTTCACACCCAGCACTTTAGAGATCCTGTTGGCCGCCGTCTCAGCCTACCAAGGTGAGGGAGGAAAGAGAGGTGAGGGGAGGGGATGGGGGAAAGAGAGATGAGGGGAGGGGGGAAAGAGAGATGAGGGGAGGGGGGAAAGAGAGGTGAGGGGAGGGGTGAAAGAGAGGTGAGGGGAGGGGGGAAAGAGAGATGAGGGGAGGGGGATGGATGAAGAGAGATGGGGGAAGGGGGAAGAAAGAGGGGGAGGGAAAGAGAGATGGGAGGGGGGAGGAGGGGAGGAGGAAGAGGGGGAAGGGGGAAAGGAGGATGGGGAGGGGGAGGAAGAGAGGTGAGGGGAGGGAGGAGGAAAGATGAGGAGGGGAGGGGGAGAAGAGGGGAAAGAGAGAGATGAGGGGGGAGGGAGAAGAGAGATGAGGGGAGGGGAAAAGGGATTGGGGGGAGGAGAGGAGGGGGAAAGGGGGGAAAGAGAGGGAGGGGAGGAGGAAAGAGAGATGAGGGGGGGGAGGAGGGGAAAGAGAGATGAGGGTGAGGAGGGAAAGGGGGGTTTTTAAGAGAGGTGGGGGGGCGGGTAAGGAGGGAAGATGAGCCGGAGGGAGGTGGGAACGGGGGGGGTGTTTAGTAGAGAGGTGAGGGGGGTGGAGGAGGGGAAAGAGAGGTGGTGGGGGAGGAAGGGAAAGAGAGGTGAGGTGGTTCTTGTCGCATATCTAGTGCTATTCCTCACACAATACAATTCAACATTACACCCCCCCCCCCCAACACGCACACACCATTTAAGTCATTCCTTTAATGCAATCTGTGTGCATCATTTCAAAAACATTCATTTCAATGTGAAACTCACAATTTACCAACTCAGTAGAATTATGATCTCAAACAACTCATAGGCTAGAGAGGAGTGATTGACATATGGTAATCCTCATCAATTGGTTTAGGAGGTATTGTACCCACAACACATTGCATTCACAAACTCGATTCAAATTGTTCATGGTGCAAGCTGTATACCTGCTCGGCTCCAGCAAATGCATGATAGAAGCAGGACACATAGGTCATAATAGCTCTCTCATCAGGCTTGGGGGTGTTGATGATGTCTACAGAGGGCGGGAGGGACAGAAGAGGGTGACAGACGACAAGTAGAGAAGAAGGAAGATATGGAAGGTGGAGACAGGAAACACAAGAACACTGACAGAGGAGAAGGACCACAGATCGACTCCACACCTGAACTTAGCCCAGGGCTATCCTGGAGGGAAGGTGGGGTGGTCTATGGCAAAGGGATCTAAACAAGGACCTGGTCACCTTGACACTAGGACTACACAGCATCAATGTCCCCTCACCTTCTGTACCACTGCAAATGTGTGATACAAACTGGACATATAGGTCATAACAGTCCTGTCGTCTGGCCTGGCTGAGCTTATAAAATCTGTGTGGGGAGACCAGGCAGATAGGACTTTATCATTACAATGTGCATACAATGTGCATGAAGACAATCCTCCAGGCAATCCTGCAACAAAACCACAATCTGACTCCCACCATAACAGGACCAGATAAGATGGTTTATGTTTTCATAATGAGCAGAACGACATGACTTTAGCTAATGCCGATTTTCAAAACTTTGTTTCCTTAGAAGACATTACCTTCTGCGTCCAGCATCTTGGGAATATCCAGGTGCTTCTCTGCTATTTCAAACGCCAGGTTCAGGTTCCCCATTGGATCATCCTAGAAAAAGATCAATATTATAGAAACATACTTTCCAATTAAATTAATACCCAAAGTAATCTTTTCATTTACTTTTTATATGAGAAAACAGTATTTGAAACCAGTTTACAAACTGTCCTGCATCCAGTGATGGTATTAACTAAACAGGTGACAGACAGTCAGTAAGTGCCTCCTCACTAATGGAGTAGTAATGGAGTAGGGTGAGTCAGTGTGTTTAGTGGGAGGAGAGGGCTCATGCTGCTGATTTTGTCCTAAGTCTGTTCCACTGATGCCGGCCGAGAGGAAAAAGCCTGTTACAGGACAGTGGCAGCTGCAGAGATCCAGGGTGGGCAGATACCCATGGGCCTGTTCCCCACACGGAGCCATTTCAGCAAGCTAACACTCAGGGCTTACTGAGCCCACTCACCTGGAGCCAGACACGACAGCTGACAGGATCTGTCTGGGCTCAATGCATGTGTGGGAGTGTTGGTGGGGGGGGGGCATTTAAAGGTGATTCTGATATAGGTGTGTGTGTCTGTGTGTGTGTGTGCATATGTCTGAGAGAGGGGGGGACACCTCTACTGAAACCCAAAGCCTCTGGCTTTCCGAAAGGTTTGGGTTCCACAGATCAATCCATTTTCCTGTCTGTTTCCATACAACCGTGAATAGATTGATTGCCCTATAAAGAGCAGTACCAGGCAGAGGTATCTGCCAGCCACAGCTGAGGTAAACCCTGGGCTCTCCTGGGATGTGACTCACATTTCTCTGTCTATTCACAGTCAGGACTAAGTCAGTTCAGGATGGAGATGTAAATGTCACTCACTATTAACAAGGCCACAGCTTCCAAGGTGTAAGGAGAAACGTGTAGATTCCACACTGTAGCCTACTCTTTACACGTCCACATTTTATTTTACAAAATGTGTCTATAAACAACACCTGAACACCGATACACTAATATACTCTTGAACTCTAATGAATGCACTACAGTGACCCAGTCTACCATAGAAAGGAGAAACCTTGAACAGCATAGAACTACACACTGTACACACAATTCTACACACAACATAGTCCACTTTTTATTTACACATACGATACCTTCAGATTGTGATAGTTGATTAGATCTGGCCTGTGTTTGTGTATCAGGGCACAGAAGGCTAACCCATCCTTCCAGCTTTATATAATGGTGGGCCAGGTGAGCATGTCATTAAGACAGTGAATGCAGACATCAGTAAGGAGAGATTGGGCAAGTTAAACATAACAAAGCACTCTTATATCTGCTTCTCAAAGGTCAATAGCTTTCTGTTAATCCATGCTGTGGGAAAAGACTGTGGAGTTACTATTCTGGACATCAGGAACCCTTCTCTGTTAGTATGTTGGAGGCACTTGACACCATCAAGGTTAGTGTTTGGGACACACGAGAGACCTTGTTGAGCTTAGCGTAGTCGATGAGGTCAGGCCTGTGTCTGTGAATCAGGGCACAGAAGGCCAGTCCGTCCTTCCAGCTTCACCAGCAGGCAGCAGAGATAACCAGGTCAGAGGTCAGAGTGGCATAATAACTGAGTAAAGCAGAGTTTACCATCACTGGTCCTAGAGAGCTACAGTGTCTGCAAGCTTTGCCTGTCTTATCACTTAGTACTAACACATAAGTACAGAATATAATAAAATAGAAAAAATACAATACAAAAGTGTTTTCACCTAACGTGGAAGTTCTGGACATTGACGTTCCTGTAGGGGGCAGTCTTTCTCTGGCACCACAAGAGAAGGCCTTCCTTTGCAGAGGTTTCTGAGAGGAGAGAGAAATACTTATTCAACAGAGCTATTCCCCAGTGAGATCTCTATTTCATTAACCAGGAAGTCAATACAGATCATCTCTTTTCAAGGGAGACCTGGCCAAGAAGATAGCTGCAGAATAAAAACATTATGCAGGACATAACCTATTTACAATAGTAATAAAGGCAGTTGATTTTTTTAAGTATGCTATTTTGTTTGAATTGTTCTATCTTACCTTCTACAGAGATGTCCTGGATGGCAAAGCGGAGGATGATGGTCCATATCATTCCAAGAGTCATCTTAATGTTACCATCCACAATTTCTGGGGAGAAAACATCCAATTACCATCAGATCCATCACATAATTAGAGTAGGAACTGCTTCAGAGAATTATCAAAAAGATAATGGGGCGGCAGGAAGCCTAGATGTTAAAAGCGGTGGACCAGTAACTGAAAGGTCGCTGGTTCGAACCACTAAGCCGACTAGGTGAAAAATCGACCGATGTGTCCTAGAGCAAGACACTTAACCCTAATTGCTCCTGTAAATCACTTTGGATAAAAGTATCTGCTAAATGACTAAAATGTAAAATAATGAATGGATGAATCAAATAAGTCAAAAGATACTGAGCTGCCTGAACATGAAGTACTGCCTGAATAAAACATCACCTTCAGCTCCAATAGAGACAAGTTTCACTCCTTTGCTGGTGATGAAATCCAGGGCTTTGTTGACATTGGCAATCTTGTGAAAACGCATCTTCCCTCTGTCAGGCTTGGGTAACCTCTCACCTGAGGGAAAGAAACAGCATTTAACTCTAAGCGTAATCACTAACAATCAATGTATTCAACTATATATTAAACAAACAGTACCTGAAATAACTTCCAAGAGAAGCATGAGTTTGAGGCCATTCCTGAAGTCGTCCTCAATGTACTCAATCTGTGTTCCTGCTTTCCTCAGGTGGGAGTTACACCAAGCTGTGAAGGTCTACAAATGAAATGATATTTTGGTGAGTAAAATACAAATAGTACAATTTAATTTTCACATAACTTTGATGCAGTGACTTCAAATTAGGATGGGGTTGAGCATTGATGATCGAGACTTCCTGTGAGCTCATCAGAGAACATTGAGTGAGTTTTCCATCAAGGGTCTTATTCATCAAGGGTAGAATGTTCCAAAATGTTTTAAAACTTGAACAGTGAATTTTACATTAACTTTTCCAATTGGAAGGCTCATATACCCTTCCCACTTGAAAGTGTTTGCCAACCATACATTATGAAAGTAGCTACCTCCCCAATGTCTTTCATCACAATATGGATTTTTCTCCATTTCGCCTAGCTCTAGTGTATAGCCTGGTTGTAAACATACAAGACTAGCCTGGTTGTAAACATACAAGACTAGCCTGGTTGTAAACATACAAGACTAGCCTGTTTGTAAACATACAAGACTAGCCTGGTTGTAAACATACAAGACTAGCCTGGTTGTAAACATACAAGACAACAGCTTAGCAGGACTTAGCCGGCGGTCATAAATTGTGATGACTCTGGTCCATAAAATACACATGAATTTGATTTTAATTCATGCTTTGTACTGTATCGTTATGCAAGACTTCAACATGAGAACTCTCTCCTGCTATGTTTATATTAAGTTACTCTATCTCACAACAGCAAACAGAACCCACAGGCAATCAACACTGTACCGTTGAAAGCCCTGAGAAGCCCCTAGCTCACATTCCAGATGATATAAGGTGTTCAATTTAGCCTGCTCTGGCGGTCCTAGTGATAAGAGACAGGAAGAAAACATTTTAACTGAATATCAAGATGAGAGGAAAATGTCACATGCATACACGTGTTTCTCTTTGCAAAGTAAAGAGACACACTTTTACTAAAATGATAACTATTGTCTGATAAATAAATACAAATGCTAAGTGGAGCTATCGCCATATTGCTTTCACTATCTATCCAGTCCTTCTAGATATGTGAATACCGAAAGGGCAGAGGCTAAAATGGACGGAGGGCTATGGGCCTAAATTGAAACACCTAAATGTGTAATTTCTTGGATGTGTCACAAACTGGGAGTGCTCTACAGTATATTGAATGGGATATTTTGAACATCTCTTCTCAAAAAGCCTCAGTGGATCAGCCTCAATTTGACTCCTCACAACAACCAGGAATGTGATCTCTCAATCTGCCTCCAGCTTTCATCTACAGTGTTGACCGTACTGTGTAAACACAGGGAATGTTTGTATGCTTCAGTGACATGCTCTGTTTTCAAGCCATTCCAGTTCACACAGCATGACTGGGAGAGTGATCCTCTGGCCCTTAAGTTCTTATAGCACATAGCCTGGTCCCCCAGAGGGCTGTGGGTTAATGCCACCCGTCTTATAGCACATAGCCTGGTCCCCCAGAGGGCTGTGGGTTAATGCCACCCGTCTGGAGAGGCTGCCCGGTGGGACCTCTGTCTAAATTAGGAATATTAGAGGCTTTGAAACAAAGGACCGCATTACACATGACAAAAGAGACCAAAGTGCATGTGACATTGAACGGCTGCCTCCTCGTTAAAACATGGCTGGCCCTCCAGACCTGACCTCGCCAGAGCTGCAGACCCCCCACCCCTTTTCCCCACTCCAACAGCTCTGACAATCAGAGCTAAATATATTCATGAATCATGTCCAATGAGGACCACCCATCATTGAAGTAGTTGAGCCTTTGCGGCTTTATGCGGTGTGGTCTGGAGGTAAAAAATCTAAGTTTAATAATGTTTTGTAAGGCGTTTAAGAATCTTACATTTATTTGTATATAAGAAAAGGGAAATAGGTGATTTTACTATATAACTTCAAACTTGTTCAAACACCTGAGCACGTTGGAGGCTGTTTCTTCATTGATTTCAGTCTTGGTTCCAAAAATGTCTTATGTGCCAAGGTTATTTTCACTACACAAGGCTAAATCAGTGGGTGGCATACCTGGTTGTGTCAGGTGGAACACCTAGCACGTGCTACAACATTGTAGCCTAATGGGCATGTTAGGCTACTGTATAAAGGTAAGGACAGTTCAGGGTGCAAGCAGGTCTTATTCAAGGGCAGCCCTGTCTTCCCCTGTGGCTCTTACTGGGTAATAGGATTAAAGTTGAGGGAAATGATTAGGGAAAGCTAATATAGAGCCCTACTTAAGATGCCAGAGAAGTTACTCAGAACTGCAAACAAATCCCACGTGGTCAACACTGCTATCCAACAATACCAGGCAGAAGGCCCTCAGTAGGCATATAGGTCTTCTTTAGCATGTACCTCAAATAAATATGTGTTTTGCCTCGTTAAACCAAGATATTTGAGGAACAGTTCAACCTCTTCCATAGCAATAAAGTGTGGGGAAATGGGGAAATGCTCTGCTGACAAGTATTTTTCTCCGCTCATACAGGAGTAATAAAGGCCTAGTGCACAATTATTATTATTTGTGTGTATACACTACCGGTCAAAAGTTTTAGAACACCTACTCATTCAAGGGTTTTTCTTTATTTTTACTATTTTCTACATTGTAGAATAATAGTGAAGACATCAAAACTATGAAATAACACATATGGAATCATTTAGCAACCCAAAAAGTGTTAAACAAATCAAAATATATTTCTTCAAATAGCCACCCTTTGCCTTGATGACAGCTTTGCACACTCTTGGCATTCTCTCAACCAACTTCAACTGGAATGCTTTTCCAACAGACTTGAAAGAGTTCCCACATATGCTGAGCACTTGTTGGCTGCTTTTCTTTCACTCTGCAGTCCGACTCATCCCAAACCATTCAATTTGCTTGAGGTCGGGGATTGTGGAGGCCAGGACATCTGATGCAGCACTCCATCACTCTCCTTCTTGGTAAAATAGCCCTTACACAGCCTGGAGGTGTTTTGGGTCATTGTCCTGTTGAAAACCAAATGATAGTCCCACTAAGCCCAAATCAGATGGGATGGCGTTTCGCTGCAGAATGCTGTGGTAGCCATGCTGATTAAGTGTGCCTTGAATTCTAAATAAATCACAGACAGTGTCACCAGCAAAGCACCCCCACACCATAACACCTCCTCCTGCATGGATTACGGTGGAAAATACACATGCGGAGATCATCCGTTCACCCTCACCGCGTCTCACAACGACACGGCGGTTGGAACGAAAAATCTCAAATTTGGACCAAAGGACAAAGGACAAATGCTTGTGTTTCTTGGCCCAAGCATGTCTCTTCTTATTATTGGTGTCCTTTAGTAGTGGTTTCTTTGAAGCAATTCGACCATGAAGGCCTGATTCACACAGTCTCCTCTGAACAGTTGATGTTGAGATGTGTCTGTTACTTGAACTCTGTGAAGCCTTTTTTTGGGCTGCAATTTCTGAGACTGGTAACTCTAATGAACTTATCCTCTGCAGCAGAGGTAACTCTGGGTCTTCGATTCCTGTGGCGGTCCTCATGAAAGCCAGTTTCATCATAGCGCTTGATGGTTTTTGCGACTGCACTTGAAGAAACTTTAAATGTTCTTGAAATGTTCCGTATTGACTGACCTTCATGTCTTAAAGTAATGATGGACTGTCATTTCTCTTTGCTTATTTGAGCTGTTCTTGCCATAATATGGACTTGGTCTTTTACCAAATAGGGCTATCTTCTGTATATCCCCCCCTATCTTGTCACAACACAACTGATTGGCTCAAACGCATTAAGAAGGAAAGAAATTCCACAAATTAACTTTTAACAAGGCACACCTGTTAATTGAAATGCATTCCAGGTGACTACCTCATGAAGCTGGTTGAGAGAATGCCAAGAGTGTGCAAAGCTGTCATCAAGGCAAAGGGAAGCTATTTGAAGAATCTCAAATATAAAATATATTTTGATTTGTTTAACACTTTTTTGGTTACTATATGATTCTATATGTGTTATTTCATAGTTTTGATTATTCTACAACCTAGAAAATAGTAAAAATAAAGAAAAACCCTCGAATGAGTAGGTTTTCAAAAAACTTTTGACTGGTAGTGTATAATTTTTTTTGAAATTGTGATTTATCAGGGGTTGCTGCAACACTCTCAGCACCCCTAACGCCAGTTGCTAAGAGCATTTCGGAAGGAAGACTTAATAACCTTCTGTTTGAGACCAGTTGACAGATACTGAGTTGGGGCCCTATACTCAGACTCTTGGACACTGGATTAATCTACTATATTGCCTTTTGGTCTCGAAGTTAAAATTAGATATAGCATCCATTCTAATCCCAAGGACGTCATCATGTGTTAGAAGCATCTGTTGACAGCTCTCATTCCTCGCATATCAGTGGAATGGCAACAGTCTCAAGAGCCGCTCATTGAGCTATTGTTAGCTGGTAGCAGCGCATCCGTCCGTCAATATTCCCGTCAACTGGAGCCAAGAGCCCCCCCCCCCCCAGGATACCAGGAACCAGAGACAGAGCTTGGAGCCTGCGCTAAACGTGAATAACTCAATATTAAATTAATAACACAATGGAAATGAAAAAAAAAAGTTAATAATCTCCCAATCCCGTGCTTAAGGTAGTCCTACTGTACTGTTTAATATGTTATCTGCAGGTCATCTTCTCTTGACTTACCTTTCTTTGCTGTTTTTCCCAGGCAGGGTCCAGCAACATGTCCCTGTCCCAGTCATCCTCCTGTATCATGTAGTCCTCCTCATCTCCGAATCCGTTATTATAATGCACTGTCGTCTCTATTTGGGTCATCATTGCGTCTTAAATCTTTGTATTCCCCCAAATTCAATGCGTTTTTGTCTTCCAATATCCTTATGTATTTAGACTCTGATAATTCAATTATTAACCTGGGCTGGGTAACTTCCACTGTCTCCCTATCTTTCTATTTGACTTCCTCTCTCACTCGCTTGCGGGTGTTCGGTCTGGCTGCAGTTGCCACAGCGGAACAAACGCTGATAGCAATTAGTACTGACAGGTCACATGACAGGCGCGCAGGGCGCTATACACTCAGGGGAAACACTCTTTTCACGCCACTAAGATGTAGCAGGTTAGGAAAATGTATGCAGCAGGTTAGGCGACTGAGGATAAGGTTAGGGAAAGGGTTAGCGAAAATGCTCTCCTAACCTGCTACGAATATCACTTTGTATCAAAGTGGCGTGAAATGAGTGTGTCCCATCCTGATTGTGTTTAGTGGGGGGATCGGCTAATAAACCAGGGGAGGCTTCACTCTACGAATCTTAATTGCACAAAGTCTATTATTTGTCAGGGAATACTATTTGTAGATCAGTGATTCTACACCTCACTTTGCTCAAGCTGACCCTCTCCAATGGACTCGGAAGTTGTATTAAATTAGGGGCAGTTGAGACAATGAAACCAACAATGGGACTCGAACCAAGTGACTGTCCAGCCAACACCTTAACAGTTACGCCTTGAGGTCCGAACCTCTTGGCCAACACCTTAACCATTATGCCAAAATGTCTGACCTATTCGCGAAATGGTTAAGTAATGGTTAATGTGTTGGCTTGACTGTCTCTGCAGAAGTGGGATGGTGCCGCCATCGGAGAGGCATGTACATGTGAGACGCTTGGTATAGAGAAGAGTGAAGACACGCTATCCCCCTTACGGCGTCCACATACATAGGTTTGGTTTGCTCCTGACAGAACTCGGCTAAACAACGCATACTCCCTAAAGACCTTCACTTGAAAAACGTGAAAAAAGCGGCAATATTACTGTTGTTTGTCCCTCTTCAGCCACCGTAGCAACAACATAGTCAGAAACACCTCCTCTAAATAGTCTGAATTAATCTAAGATAAATCAAGAAATCTGTAATTAATTTTGAGGTTTTTGCAGAGGTCATAGTCTTGCAATTTTACATCTAGCTAAGATGTTTGGTGCAGTATTTCGAAGAGTGATTTTTTTTCATGAAAACTAGTCATCTCTTGTTGGATGACAACAAACACTTAATGTTTCCACTTTTACTAGGAGTAATACTGTTGACCAATCACCAACGAAGGGGCCTAGACTTCGGCTACTGTACTTAGACTCGCCTCAAGAAAAATGTTTGTGTGCACAAACAGCTGAAAAAAAACCTGACTAAGACCAAAAACTAAAATGTCACAAAATGTTGTCATAATATATACGTAAACTGTTTCAATTAAGAAGCATAAGGTATGCTTTAGGAAAGGGATAATGTAGTGACTTAAAGATGTTCAGAGCTCTTGGCATAGAGTCCCACAGTGGAGGTGTCATAATACCCATAAAACCTAACGGCCAAACAGGGAAATGGTTCCAATCGTTTTTCCACCATTCATGTTATACGGGCTGTGTTTCGTGTAGGCTTACCCTGGCATGATGTTTTCATAACCATGTAACTCTCTCTCGGACAAAGTGAATTTTATTGATATATTCAGCTCTATTTACTCTCAGATTCGAGAATGCTAATTAGCATCAAAGTAGACATCAAGCAAAACTACAAATCCCTGCAAATTCCTGCACATCATCTCTAGCTGAGACCTTTGCTAAAAGGTATTGTGTCAATTTAAAATTAAAATTAAACAATTCACAAAATTGTCATTTAAATACATTTTTTCCCATTTATTCATTACTACATTTAGCTAACATTAGATAGTTAATCCAGAGATTCTTAGCTTTGCCTCGATTTGGCAGTTTCGTCCAGATCATCATAGCATTTGTAGTTCTTTCTGATAGCCACATTAGCAGCTAATTAGCATTTCATCTTTGGGTCACCTTGTCCTAGAAAGATTTACACGGTTATCAAAACATCACGCCTGGGTAAACTTACACAAAACACAGCCCTTATTTTAAGTGTTTCTAAAATCCCCTACCGGAAAAATGAATGGTGGAAAAACGATTGGAACCATTTCCCTGTTTGACCACTAGGTTTTATGGGTATTATTAATTTTTTATTAACCTTTATTTAAACAGGGAGTCACATTGAGATAAAACTATTTTACAAGAGAGCCCTGTATATGTTTACAAATAAAACCCAATACATAAATGAAACACAATAGTGCTTTCGGAATATATTCAGACCCCTTCCCTTTTTCCATATTTTGTTACGTTACAGCCTTATTGTAAAATGGATTAAATAAAAACATGTATGACAATTGGGTACTTTTTCCACCACTGCTCAGGACCTCAGACTGGGGCGAAGGTTCCCCTTCCAAAAGGACAACGACCCTAAGCACACAGCCAAGACAACGCAGGAGTGGCTTCGGGACAAGTCTCTGATTGTCCTTGAGTGGCCCAGCCAGAGCCCGGACTTGAACCCGATCGAACATCTCTGGAGAGACCTGAAAATAGCTGTGCAGCGATGCTCCCCATCCAACTTGACAGCTTGAGAGGATCTGCAGAGAAGAATGGGAGAAACTCCCCAAATACAGGTGTGCCAAGCTTGTAGCGTCATACCCAAGAAGACTCAAGGCTGTAATCGCTGCCAAAGGTGCTTCAACAAAGTACTGAGTGAAGGGTCTGAATACTTATGTAAATGTGATTTTTCAGTTTTTCGTTTTTTATAAATTTGCAAAATATTGTAAAATCCTGTTTTTGCTTTGTCAATATGGGGTATTGTGTGTAGATTGATGAGAGGAAAAAAACACTTGAATCCATTTTAGAATAAGGCTGTAACGTAACAAAATGTGGAAAAAGTCAAGGGGTCTGAATACTTTCCGAATGCACTGTATACATTACAAATAAAACACACTATAATAAAACACATAATACACAACATTAAACATATTTTAGAAAAGCAATCACATTCTGTAACATAAAAGTCTCCAATCAATCATTTAAAATGACTGAGAGGCACCAGAATATCTAATTGCAAGGAATTCTGCGTATTGTTCCACACATAAGGGGCAAAAAAACTAAAAGCAGTTTTTCCCAATTCTGTGGAGACCAAAGGGATCTCCAGAGTTATCCATCCCTGAGAACAGGTTTGGATTCAACCCTGTCTATCATAATAGCCTGGGTTCTGTCACTAAGATAACTCTGAAAGCACAAACAGGCATCAGTGCCAAAGCTTAACACAGACAACTTATTCAATAAGATAGAATGACCAACTGCATCAAAAGCTTTTGACAAATCTATAAACAGGGCAGCACAATTCATCTTAGCATCCAAAGCATTGGCAATATCATTGACAACTGATGTGGTTGCAGTAATAGCGCTTATGATTCATACTGTGGTACTCTATGGTTAAGGTGTTGGCTCGACAGGTGCTAGACCCTGGTTTGAGTCCCGGTCGGATTCATTGATTAGAGACAGCTTGTATCAATTAAATAACTTTTCTTTGGATTTTCTACAGGCAGCAAACCTAGTATATAATGCTGAAAATACCAGGTAAATCTTTTTAAAGAAAATGGCCCTAGTGATGGCCGTTATGGCTGCTACATTGTTTGTATGCTATAAGGACTTCGGTCATCTCCCGAGTGACGCAGTGGTCTAAGGCACTGCATCGCAGTGCTAGCTGTGCCACTAGAGATCCTGGTTCGAATCCAGGCTCTGTCGTAGCCGGCCGCGACCGGGAGACCCATGGAGTGGCGCACAATTGGCCCAGCGTCGTCCAGGGTAGGGGAGGGAATGGCCGGCAGGGATGTAGCTCAGTTGGTAGAGCATGGCGTTTGCAACGCCAGGGTTGTGGGTTCGTTTCCCACGGGGGCTAGTATGAAAAAATAAAAAATAAAAGTAATGTATGCACTCACTAACTGTAAGTCGCTCTGGATAAGAGCGTCTGCTAAATGACGTAAATGTAAAAATGATAATAACTTTGGAGATAATAAGTGCTTTCCCATCTGTGTACACACAGGGGCGCTGTAGGACACCTAAGGATAATTGAAGTGATTTAGGGAGAGAAGCCATAGATAGCTCTTGGAATTAGATTTCCAGGTCTGGACACTGTCCCCTCCAACAGTGCAGACCGTAGGAATGTGATTCTGGACTCTAATAAGGCAAGGGGACATGACAGTAAGCAGGTCCTAGCAGTGATTTAACAAACGCATCTGCACCCACCCACACATGCACGCACGTACACAATATTGTATTTCTGATGATCCCAAACAAACTCTTTCATTCACCAACACAGACAGAGGCCTCCTCCCTTACTGTTCCTCTTCCAATCAACCTGGAGCCAGGCCAGTGTTCTGATGTGGCCCCGTGTTTCAACAGCTGACCACACACACACACACACACTTTCTCTTCCACCCTCACACATAAACAGTACATAGCATCTCTCACATCCAGCATAGCTTTTATAAATCATCATAGCCTACTTCTATTGCATATTTGAGTGAAGATGGCCTACAAAGTCCCAGGCTGAACATTCAATGGTCATAGCTGAGGGCTTTAAACATGTAGTTGATGACAAGGAAAACAGAACATCACTCAGGTGGGTAGCCATGACATATAGACTTTATTTCTATAGAAAACATTATTCCTGCACATTTGAAAGGACGTACAAACCACACAATGGGTGAATCTCGTCAGATATAAATATAATATTTCTTCCTTGAGGCCCCCAGATAGTATTGCATAAAGAAACAGGCCTCACAATACTTTTCAGGGGGAAAAACACCAACAATTATTTGTCTTGCCTTCTAAAAAAACACCACCACTTGTTTTGATGGGTCCACATCGATATCCTTTAAGGTTGCATGAATCTGAGTGAATCTTCCAAGACTTTAAAGAAACCATGTCCAATGTTCTTTCTCTCTCTTTTCCTTTGCACAAATGGGGAAGCGCAACTCATCCATCCATATGTCCAAAGAATGAAATGTTCTGTCTAAAATGTGAGTAAGTATTCAAGTCAGCCAAATACCAAACCAGGTCAATAAACAAATTATATCCCAGCTATAAACAGTTAAACATCAGATAAGATTCTCAATGCTGTACGTGGGAGTGTTTGAGTCTATATCTGTGTGTGTGGTGTATGTTTGTGAGATATGTTAGTATAAACTGGAGTGACATCAAGGTTGAAATAAGAGATGGAGTGAACACTTGAACAAAATTGAGAAAACAGTCCATGGCATACTAGAGAGGAGCAGAGAGGAGATATTATTTACATTAGAACAGAGCTAGATGCAGACCCTGTGCTCTGAAATGATCATTTTTGCTGTGTACAGAGCCCATAAAGAGTGCAAACAGAGACATAAGGGTGAACACACAACGTGTTCATCTGAGACATATCCAACAGCCTTGAGAGCACCATGTCAGTCAGAACACCAATAATACTGTCCAAGCTGAAAGCCCCAAAACATCCTGGGCTCAGAGTGGTACAGAGTGGGGGTAAGGAACAGATGAAGTGAAGGAGGGATGAAGAGGAAGAGGAGGGATGCCAATGGCCCACTTTTTGTGGCCTGTAGCAGTGTTCTCGGGCCCTGGGGTTGAAGAGGAAGCAAGGGGTAGAGGAGGAGAGGGATAGAGGAGGAGGGGTGTGGAAGGGAAAAGCCTTCCCCCTTCATCATGCAGTCTCATTCAGGCCACAGGGTCGTCGGAACTCCTGCCCTCTTTCATGGATCCATTTGTTTGATACTGAGGGTGACAAGGAGGACAGAGAAAGACATTAGCTACCATAGCCTAGTCTGGTAAAAAATCTACAGTATTCTAGTCTACAATATACACTGTGTACAAACATTAGGAACCTCTGCTCTTTCCATGACATAGACTGACCAGGTGAATCCAGGGGAAAACTATGATCCCTTATTGATGTCACTTGTTAAATCCACTTCAATCAGTGTAGATGAACAGGAGACAGGTTAAAGAAGGATTTTTAAGCCTTGAGGCAATTGAGACGTGGATTATGTATGTGTGCCATTCAGAGGGTGAATGGGCAAGACAAAATATTTAAGTGCCTTTGAACGGGGTATGGTAGTAGGTGCCAAGAACTGCAACGCTGCTGGGTTTTTCACGCTCAACAGTTTCCCGTTTGTATTAAGAATGGTCCACCACCCAAAGGACATCCAGCCAACTTGACACAACTGTGGGAAGCATTGGAGTCCTCATGGGCCAGCATCCCTGTGGAACGCTTTCGACACCTTGTAGAGTCCATGCCCCCAACGATTTGAGGCTGTTCTGAGGGCAACTCAATATTAGGAAGGTGTTCTTAATGTTTTGTACACTCAGTTTATATCAGAGCTAACTTGGTGATAACAATGATTACTTGAGAAAAGTAAAGGAAGGACTGTTATAACCATAGAATTAGGAATTAGAATACTAGTAATAATAGTCATTTAATAGGATCTCTATGGTCATAACAGTGTCATAGACATTTACAGAGCTGAATTTAGGTGGTTTCAATACACAAACTCACCCCACTTGTTGCCCACCAATACTGGGCAGGCTGCGTGTCTTGTACTGTAGTCTCCCTCCCCACTGGGAAACAGGTTGTACCAGAACACTGCAGTCCCCTGTAATACATCACACACAGTAGAGACAGGTTACAGGGAACTATGTACCTACACTCATACACATAGGCTGCAAATACACATGCTCATTGCTCACAAGCATTTAGTCACCTTTTTGGGCCATACTGCAGCACCTACATCTGGGAATACTGTAGCACCTCCCGCTGCCACGTCACTCATCTAGAACCGAGAAAACAAGAACTAGTCTATTATCACCTTGGACTCTTCCCTAATCAAGAGAACAAAAAATAGTATTTATTTTAGGGCAGGGGGAAAAGAAGGAAGCAGTCCCATGAATATAGAGCACTCACATAGAAGAGCCAGGTGGCTATACGGTTTCCAGTGCCCAGCTCTTTGAAGGCATCAGGCTCATCTTTCTGTAGAGCGAGAAAAACAAGTTATCATGACATCACATGATCATTATGAGCAAAAATGACACATCCTAACTGTCACGGTTCCCCATTTTGCCCCCCCCCTAAATCAGGGCTGCAGGGCAATACTAACCCGTCCAAAGTCAAAGTGGGGCTCATACTGCCCACCCACGCCATAGTTTGCAACCTGCAAAGCAAAAGTGAGATCATTAATATTGGAAATGTAACTGTCAACCATCTCAAACAATGACACACACACACACACACAAACACACACACTTTACCTGTAACTCTTCTGCAGTGTCCATCTCCAGTCCTGTGAGGTCCTCAATCCGCTGGTTTATCTGATCAATCATTGGGTGTTCATATGCTGTCAGCCATGCACTGGGACAGGGGAAGGACACAGGGGTGGATAACAGGTCAAATACAGGGTGTGTAAATCGTAACGGGGGGTGGTAGAGTTACTATAGTACAGTAGTTATTATGGAAGAACAGTATAGAAGAGAAAGAGAACAGACAAGGCATGCTGCAAGATGAAATATATCAACTACAGTAGGTTCATGTGTTACGTGCAGATGATACATGAGATGTGGGAGGAGCGTTGAGAGAGGAAGAGGAAGGACTTTAGAAAGCATCCTGACAGAGTCTCCAATCAGCTCAGCGTACAGTGGTTAGAGTGAAGTTTAGGAGTAACTAAATAAAGTTGTGTGTTTTTTTATGTACTTTTCAATAATGTAAGCCTTCTATAGGTTGAAGCTCTGAGTTTGCAGTCATCACATGACTTGGGAGAGTTCTGGAGGTCACAAGGGCTTTGGTGGTTGAATATTTTAGGGGCCCCAGAGGGGATTATTTTTTAAAATGCTTTTAGTGAACACTACCAGCCTTTCACCATCCACCCAGGCCCAGATGTCTAAACCGCCCCCTCCAACAGGGAGCGTTCCATTCTGACTGGGAGTCATGGCTTCTTTCACATATCATATAAAGACGTCACAATATCTTATCTGTCATTTTATGGACCACAACTTTATTTTGTAGTCGTTTTTCTGGGTCATGCACCACGAGGCTCAGTGTGAAAATCAAAAAGTGTCAAACCACAGAAAATAGCATTAAAATTGTGGATTCTCTGCTTAATATATTTTCCATACTCTGCATAAAGTGAGAGTTGTAGCAGTTGTGGCCGCAATGATTTGAAGGCCAGAGGGCTAAAGTTTGAGTGTACGACATCGAGATGAGGTCCAGGCCAAAGGTAGCAGATCAGCCATCTGCTCTCCACACACCATCCCTTTTTATTGGCTACATTGTTGAATCTCTCAGCCAATAAGATGACTCCTCTTTCCCAGTGCAATACACTGTGTGTATTACTTAATACTGACATTCCTTGTAAGGTTAGCCAAATTCAAAACTAAGTTGTGTGTTAGTCTGTGTGTGTGAGAAAAGTGATTTATTAGAAGTTGCTGTTGGGGGAGTGAAGACAGTAAAACATTAATTGGACATGATAGAGTGCTGGTTAGGTCAACAAGTCTCTCTTCCTACAAATTCTCTCCTCTGCTGTGACTACTCTCCCACTTTGACCTCGTTGTCAGTTCAAATGAGGTTCACACTCAGTTCAGTTAATCCTTCACCACACACACAGTTGCACATACTTCAACACGAAGACACAGACAGACAGGCAGACACACACACACCTACACTTGCATGCAGACACACGTGCACACCCTAGCAAACACACACACAAATACACACTCCAATATACACAGTAATAAGCAGGGGCAGTAAAACCAAAGTGATGTGGGGTGGTATGGGTATGGCATGAGGGGTTCTATTTTAAGAAGATTAAGTTATTTAAGTAACTATGACTTAAGACTGGCACGTTCCCCTACAATCAGCAGACTGACCATAGATTGGGGTTGTCTGGTGTATTAGATCTCCTCAAGTGGGCACTCACTATTCATCAAAATTATGAACTGAGAGAGAGAGAGAGAGAGAGAGAGAGAGAGAGAGAGAGAGAGAGAGAGAGAGAGAGAGAGAGAGAGAGAGAGAGAGAGAGAGAGAGAGAGAGAGAGACAGGGAGAGAGAGAGAGAGAGAGACAGGGAGAGAGAGAGAGAGAGTGTGTGTGTGTGCGCGTTTGTGTGCACAAACTTAAGGTGTAATTGGCCCTGTCTGCAAAGTAGCACAGAGGAGGAGAGAAGCCAGAATGAACTCATTCATCTGATTGTAAGAGAGCAGCATAGATTCACTGCAGAAAAAGGTGGTGAGGTGGCCCTACTGACCCAAAGACCTGCCAAAACCTGTAGAGCACATCCTGGGGATGCAGGGCAGATCAGGGTGGTATGGGATGGGAGACCAGAGGGGATGGGGGGTCTCTGGAGACCCTAATGTATAATGACCTTTGACCCCTTACCTCTTGGAGACTCTGTACATGGCTGTGATGAGTTTCCCAGTTAGGGGGTCATGTACTGTGGCTGCCTTAGCTAATTTCCCGGGCACAAGAAAAAACAGAGAGAGAGAGAGTGAGAGAGAGAGCGAGAGCGAGAGCGAGAGCGAGAGCGAGAGAGAGGTAACACAACAAAACGATAGATGAAGTAGAGTGAAACAGGAAGTGAAAGAAACAGAGAGAGAGGAGAGAGAGAAGCAGATTCGGTCACAAGCGGTTCATGTTATTCCGGCAGTATGCCTGGGGTTGTTTCAGGGCCAGTCCTTTAACCCAAGGTTAGTATAACTTAATGGTTTATTCTCTAGTTTAGGAGAACGCTAAACTAGTGATTACATTAGTGATGAAAGGAACAGAGGATTTGTGAAAAGTATTGCTCCCAATACACCCTTAGTTGGCCAATAGCAACTATGTTAAAATCAACAACTACACCTATTGTTTCCTCCTCCCACTCCACTGGGTTCACATCCTAGAGAACTCCTGAGCAGAAACACATTTTCACCACAGACAGGACCGTACATTCATCTCTCCTTATTCATTAGCTTATACTCTGAACTTCTAGAACATCCCTGGACTCTTCTAGAATCTGACTTATGGTTAGACTAAGAAAATGTATCAGAGAGAGAGTGGAGGAGGGTTCAGTAAAAGTATGATTCTGTGCTTCTGCAGAGGAGTCTTCCAGCGTTGGAGGGAGGAATACGGACCGGACTCAGAGGCATAGGCCAGTGGCAGGTGTAAGAGGAGGGGTTTGAGGTGGGGTGTGAATGGAGAGAGAGAGGTATATGGGTGCTCCCCCTTCTGCTCCACCCCTCCCCTCGACCCTCTCCTCCCCCCCTGCCTATACCTGGCTGCGCCTTACCTCTTGCTGATCCTGTAGGAGGCAGTCTCGAGCACACCAGTGATCGGGTTGGAGATGGTGGCCCGGCGGAGCTGTAAGCCAGAGAGAGGGGGTTTACAGGGTACCCTGACATCACCTTCATCACCCACCTCCACCCCACAGACCCTGCTTTGGGTGGGCTAACAGGGCTCAACCTGCCTCCACTTCCATGGCTCTTTAATATACACCCCTCACCACACACACTAAAAGCTTGCTGTCCCCTCTGGGAATACGTCTTGTCTAACCATTTATAGCAATCACTTTTTTATGGACTCTGGGCAACTACTATTAGGTCAACATCAAGTTCAAAGATCTCTACTAACAGTCTGAATTTGTGTCTAGATATCAGTAAGTCAACACTTATTGACTTGATCAATACATAATGTGTCATCCCACTGGGCAAAAACTGGTTGAATCAACGTTGTTTATACGTCATTTAAATGTGGAAAACTGATTGGATTTGAAAGAAGTCATCAATGTAAGGACATTCCGTATTTTTTTCACCTAACTTTTAACCTAAATCCAATGACATGGTGACATTTTTTGTTGATTTCATGTTGAATTCACATTAGTTGACAACTCAACCGAATGTAAATCACAACTAGACGTTGAAATGATGTCTGTGCCTAGTGGGAAGAGTGTTTATGTTTAGCATTAACATTCCCTATTCATTCTGCCTACTAGTGGCCTCGACCCTGCAGACACAGCTGCAGCTGGTCAGACTGTTACTAGTATGAGCATCTCTGATTACCCCAGAGCAAAGACACAGCAAATCCACTTCTGTAGGACCATGAAACCCTTCCGTCAGACACATCTGTGTGGCCATGACACCCTTCTGAACCCTTATTATCTCAATATAACACACACACACACACACACACACACATAGACAGAGAGTAGAACTCACTCTGGGCTTGGCCAGCTCTTTGACCTTCTCGATCTCGCCGTGAGAGATGATGTCATGGTAACGGACGATGTAGGGCCGGTCCCACTCATCCTCCTGCTTCACCGGGCTCAGGAGGTACTTGGGGTGACCGTGGTTATCAAAGTAACGGCAGAAAAGCCGTCTCTGTCTGCGGGGGGTCTACAAGGCAGAGATGGGGCGGGTGGAGGGAGGTAAGAAGACAGACAGATTGGCACGTACAGACGTAGTATCTCAATTTGAGCCAGTTTGCTATAGCAGGAAAATAATCCTGCAGTAACAGGAAATATTAATTATTATGTTGATTATAATTAATGGACATTTTTGTAGGGGTTGATACATTTTTGGTTAGGGGAAATCAAGTCTGAAATGTCAAAGTGGAAATTACTAACTTTAGAAGCCTTTTTAAAACTCAAATACACTACAAGTTTGCATTTCCTGCAGTGCAGGAAAATTCTCAGCAATAAAAGAGTAATCAAATTAAGATCTTGCATCTGTAGAGATAAAGAGATAAAGATACAATAAGAGGCAGACCTATAATTGAATGGTGGGAGCTCTCTTCTGTTACTCTTTGATAACTACAACTTGTGTTCAACTAACACATGGCACAACAACTCACACACACTCCTAACCCATTTATGTGAGCTCAACCACTCACTGTGTGTGAGTGAGTGAGTAATTCCTCCTCACCAACTTGATGCCCTCCCCTCGACACAGCATCTCATACATCTTCCTCTCTGGGACAGGCTCCCTGAAGCGCTTCTTCTTCTTGGAGGCATCACTTGTCAGTCTCTTCCTTCGCTCCTTGCCCTCCTCCCGGGCCTTCTGGGCCTCCTGTGCCTGGGCCTTCCTCTGATTTATCAGTTGAAACTCAAAGTACTTCAGGTTGCCGTTGGCACGCTGGTGTTCCGGGTCTGGAGTGAGGAGGGAGAGAGAGAGGGGACAGTGAGATGGAATACTGATGCTCATACAGTAACCAGACAAGGAAGATTCATTTTTAATATTCATCTGGATCTATCTGCATCACTAACTTCAGACCCTACTGCCACTTGGGACATTTCATGAGTAATCCTCTATCCCAGTTCATGCTGGGCATACAGGACAGCAGCTGTTGTTCAATGATTCCCCTGGAGGGCATCATATTCCCTCAGTACTCATTAACAGTGTTACACTACCAGTTAACCCCCAAGTATACCCATAACTTAGCTCCTTTAGTGTGCTCTCAGTTTCACTCCTTTAACTCTGTCAGTGTGTCCTTAGTTTGACCGCCTTAAACCCTCGCTCCCAGTGTGCCTAGTTTAACTCCTTTCATTCTGAGCCGCATTAGGGTAACTCACCCAGCATGAGTAGCCTCTTGGTGAGCTCCAGGGCCCTGCCTAGCTCCCCCTGCTGGTAGATGGCATAGCTGAGGTAGTCCAGCACGGTGACCTTGTCCACGGTAGACTCCTCTCCTTCATCCAGCTGCTTCAGGGCCTGTTCCATCCATAGCTCAGTGTGGTAGTAGTCCACCTCGCTGTAGGCAATCTTCCCCAGCTCAAAGCAGTCCTCCACTGTCATAGGGCTCTTGTGCGTCACTCCTGTGGATGAGTCAGTGGTTACAAACGTACAAAATATTAAAGGCCGGAGGTTCTCCCTCTAGCACTCCCTAACCCTTTACCTGGCAGGTCTCCTGTAGAGATGGTGTTGGTGTCCAGTCTGTAGGTGTCCTGCAGTCTGAGCAGGGCCTTGGCTGCGCCTGTCTGGTCCTCGTCTGTAGGGAAATGTTGCCTCTGGAGGGTCAGGTTAGAGATGAAGCCTGAGAGAAGGACAGAGATCCTCATTAGTGAGGATGCTCACTGTGAGCATACAAAAGACAAACAAACATTGCAGTAAATATTTTATGTTAAAAAAACAATTATCTGTCGGATGCTGCTTTGTGACTACTTTTAAACTTCCTTTTCCTCTCTTCTAATATGACCCTCATAGTGTCATCATGTCTAACCGTCCTTGGTGTCCTTCAGCACCAGGCTCTCCAGGTCTCCCCATTCTGTGTTCAGCCTCTTCATCAGTTTGAAGGCGTTGACCGGGTTTCCCAGGAAGCCCTCGGGGTCCTGCATGGCTATGGATGACAACACATCCAGCTTCTCTGCCCACCTAAGAGAGGGTTGGGAGAAGAGACACAATTCAGCTACTTTGTTTGTGTGTGTGCTTGCGTGCGCGCGTGCGCGTGTGTGTGGGCGTCTGGACACTCACTGTTTGACCTGCTTCAGCTTGTTCTCCTCTGCTGTGATATAATTATTCAGTGAAGTGACTAAGTCTTTCTCTGTGTACAACAGATCTGTCATGTGACCTAAGGGTGGAAAATACACACATTATCAAACTTGATTTTAAGTTGATTTAAACCAATCCTACACACGATAATAAGGAATACATTGTGTATTATATCTTTCAACTTCCATGTACATGAGAAAAAATGATAAACCCGTACTTCCGGGTAGATAAAATGCACAGTATGTGCTTGACAGACAGGCACTGAGGGCAGACCCAACGCCTGTCTCACAACCACTTGACTATCTATCTCATAGGAGAGGGAGGAGTCTCACCGATGGATGTGTAAAAGTCACTGTGGGCTGAAAGCGTCTGGAGCAGGGAGCTCAACACCCATAAATACCACCAACACTTTCGCTCCATCCTGCACATTCTGGGAGCGAGAGAGACAAAGAGAGATAGAGAGAGAGAGAGGGGAAGGCAGAGAGAGGAGGCCAGAATGAGGGGGAGTGAAAGAAGGACAATGAATGTATGTTGTTTGCTCACTCGAATACTCTGTCAGTTAATGTACTAGAAATAGTCATAACCAATAGGGTCGTTCCCTTTTGACAGAATGGTCCAATGATCTACAGGAGAGAATTTCCTGATGAAGAAGATAATTGAGACCAGAATTTCTCAGATACATCTGAAACTTATAGCATCATAGTCCACTCATCTTTTTCCCCCAGAGTTTAGGCTATCCTGACAAACAGGTCAGAAAACACACACAATTAACTATACCTGTGCTGCCTCTCATAGAAATACTTAAAATAGAATGGGAATGGACATTGCTTGAGGGTAGGACTAACCCTAACCCTGGCTGTCTGCAGTCTGACACATCAAGGCCTCAATCCTCAACCCCCCAAAAGACAGCGGTTTGGTCAGTGTGAGGCCGTGGAAGGATAAGCCATAAGGAGATAGCAAACAGAAAAGAGAGAGAAAGGGAGTGTGAGCGAGTGAGTGTATAGGTGGGTGTGTGCGTGCGTGCATGCATGTGTGTTAGTGTGTTTCAAGGAGAGCTGTCCTCTAAAACAGTATTACATTAAATTACTTCCTCTCTGCATCACACCCACCACACTGAGATGAATATAACCCATTGGTTGTGGCCATAGAGTGGCTAGTTTGGCACATGAGCTCTGGAGTTGGCACTGTCATGGCTTTTGCTGGGCTTCCCCTATCTAGACATGCCTCAGCCCTGCGGGAGTGGTGCTGTGCTCTTCCTACCCCCATAGCGAGCCTCCACTAGTTGTCCAGTGTGTGTGTGTGTCTGTGTGTGTGTGTCAGGGAAGTAGCGTGGGCCTTGTTTCAACAAACATGACTGCCTATATTGCCCTCAGGGGTAGACATGGAGGGGGACAGAAGGGGAGGAGGGGAGGAGGGAACTTCACACATAGACATTACCTCTATTCCACAAACACACATTCATATTAGCCTATGGGGCTTTAAAACACACAGACAATACCCCGTCAATAGAGACAAGTCCACATTGCGGGGAACTTTAACATTGGAAGTTCCGTGAATGCTACAATACTATCCAGCAGATTTCTCTATTGTCAACAAAAATAAATCACCCCTCTACACATTAGCATATCTAGCATACCTACCACTCATTAAGCATGTAAGAAGGAATGGCAACATTGGACAGAGACTGCAGGATAACCTCCCTGTCTTAAAAGTAGCTGATCTGGCTGAAAACAGTGGCACTCTTTGTCCTGTAGCTGACACACACCCAATTCATTCAAGCACAAGAGTTATTTATATTGTTTAAATAATGCAGTCAAAACATAACTCAAAACAGATGCATACATCTGTACTGTAAGACTCTAAATCCCAGCTGCACTGATACGGAAATACCAATCTGGCAACCTCGCAGATAGTTTGGAAGACACTTGACACTGGAATGACGATCACTAACAACTAAAACTTACAAGCTGGTGACACACATCTGCATTCTACTGTGTACATGAGATGAAGGCTGAGGAAGGACACAAGTACAATTTCTAATATTTGGCTATCCATATGGCATATAGGACATCTGTATTACCTTTAGCATAACTCACCATGATATGAATAGGGAGGTCAGAGAGAGAGGTTTGAAAGCAGTGCCAAGTATGAAGTATGTATAAAAAGTACTAACCCGCTGCAAGGTAAAGTTAATTGCATGTACCTCCCTCCTCTTGCACCCACTCAGCCAACCGAGACTATCTACTGAGGGTTTAGTCAATGGACAGGCTTAGGCAAGTCCTCATTTTCTTAAACAGAGTGAGGATTTGAATGAAAATAAAGGAAACACATACAGGTGATTTTTCTATGAAGGTCAACAGGGAGTGGAGAAAGCCAGAAGCCAAGAACTGTCAGAGGAGACTGGTACGTACGTGTTAAATTCTATTTATCACAGAGAAACACAGAGTTGTCTTCCACAGTACTACACCACTACAGTAATGTTCCTCACTGGTGCTCAAATGACAGTAACACTTACATTTACATTACATTTACGTCATTTAGCAGACGTTCTTATCCAGAGCGACTTACAAATTGGTGCATTCACCTTATAGCCAGTGGGATAACCACTTTACAAAAAAAAAAATGGGGGGGGGGGTTAGAAGGATTACTTTACTTACTTCACTTATGCTGCCAATCTGCTATAAAACTCATAAGAATATCAACCTTGTTATTGCAGAGTGACAGTAGTGACAGTGTCACCGTTATGATAACAGCCTCAAAGTGTTATGTCGGAGCATGTAAAGTGTTACTGTTAATTACCAAGCCACTAGGAGAGCCACTAACCTCAATGGCTGCTCTACAGACCCCCATATGTAACTGGGTTACAACTAGCAGTAACCAGTCCCAGGAGAAATCACTTTGCCTGTATAGAAAACAGATTAACCACTTTACAAAATTAGACTGGGTTCTTTTCCTGAGGTTTTACCTCCTTGGGCCTATAGTCCGTTTGTACTTGTCATATGCCTGTAGGGCCTACTCGTTTCAAACAAGCCTGAGGTTAGTGTTATCCAGTGCTACTGTAGAGTTAAGTCCTTATGTCAACTCATTACTCTGTGTTACCTGTGAAACACACACACATCAATGGGGTTCAATCACTCATTCACAGTCTGGTATGCCAACTGCTCGGCATCTGACCGTAAGGCGCTACAGAGGGTAGTGCGTACGGCCCAGTACATCACTGGGGCCAAGCTTCCTGCCATCCAGGACCTATATACTAGGCGGTGTCAGAGGAAAGCCCCAAAAATTGTCAAAGACTCCAGTCACCCAAGTCATAGAGTGTTCTCTCTGCTACAGCACGGCAAGCGGTACCGCTGTCTATTATCTATGTATAGTCCCCCTACCTACATGTACAAATTACCTTGACTAACCTGTACCCACTGCAAATGTAGTCAGTACCGGTACCCCCTGTATATAGCCTTATTATTGTTATTTTATTGTGTTACTTTTGACTATTTTTTTACTTTCGTTTATTTGGTAAATCTTTTCTTAACTCTTTCTTGAACTGCATTGTTGGTTAAGGGATTAACAAGGGATTGGCAAAAGATTGGCAAGGGATTGGCAAAGCTGCTGGTAGTTGTATTAGGTGATAGAGGTATTGTGCCAGTGCCACAGACAGAATGTCACTTGGGAGTGAAAAAACCTTCCCGGTCTGTCAATCCCATTTTTTAAAGTTTCAGATCATTAGTCTCACATTGTTACAGTGTTGCCATTTGTGAAGTGAAGCTGTAATCTAACTAATGACTGTATTAAATTGGCTTGAAAAGGGAATTATAAGGGCTGTTAGTGTATTTCAAAGGTTGGTTGAAACACACACAGTCATGACTAAGCTTTGGATGACCAGACTAAATGTCAACATCCGACACTATTAGAATTATACCTTCCTGTGTCTGACCAAAGTGAGTATTCTGGTACTTCAAACACACACACACACACACACACACACACACACACACATTTTAACACTTATCCTTATTGTATTATGTTGTTGTTGAATTCAGACTACTGTTTGAGCTTTGTTTCACCTTCAACTAGAATATCTTCCAAGCACATCACCTGATATGATAGATGCTAACTGTTACGACCACACAGACAACGCTACACAAAAAAGGGTTCCAAAAATAGTTCCAGGTAGAACTCTGTTGGGTTCCATGTAGAACCCTCTCTGGAAATGGGTTCTACCTGTAACCGAAAGTGTTCTACCTGGAACCAAAAAGGGTTCTTCAAAGGGTTCTCCTATGGGGACAGCCGAAGAACCCTTTTAGGTTCTAGATAGCACTATTTTTCTAAGAGTGTAGGCCATGGAGAAATTTCAGACTGCATTACTTGTCACTTGAAATGTAGATGTGAAGGCTCTATTCCTGTGGCTTTCAGGGAGAGTCATGGAGCACCCCTGTCTGTACAGGTATTCTGTAAAACGTGCAATATCCTAAACATACAAAAGCACTGATATTATGGAAGAGAAGTGTTAACCTCCCAAGTCATTTAATAAGGGTCTTATCTTTACAATTTCATACAACATAAACCATACAATGCAGGGGCGCAACTTTCACTGGGGATGGAGAGGACATGTACCCCCACATTCTGAAATTTCATTTTTGCAAGTTGTACAATATGCTAGCTAGGCAAGCTAGGCTAGGGGTTAAGGTTAGGGTTAAAGTTAGGAGTTATGTTAAACGATTAGGGTTAGGGCAAAGTTTAGCTAACATGCTAAGCAGTTGCAAAGTTGCTAATTAACGCAAATTCAAAAGTTGTATGTGATGAGATTCGAAAACGCAATCTTTAAGTTGCTAGACAACCTTCTGTCTTATGTAACAATACCAAGCTTAACATATCATACTAATTTTAGTGTTCCGGATTGAAGTTGAATATGTTCAATCTAGTCTATGAGACCAGGCTAAGAATAAAGACTTATGAGTGAAAGTTCCAGAATCTGTCAGAGAGGAGGTGGAGAGCATTGCCACGTCTTCGCTCCTCCCCCGCATGGACGTTTCTCGGGATGTGAGTATGTGAATGATGTGATTGCTCTACTACCTGCAACCGACAAGAAATTAATGAAAAAAACAGCGCAGTATCAACTGTGCGCCCAGCACGAAGGCACAAATACTTCTCTGGATATTGAGACAACTTGTTAATTCAGTAAGGAACTCAAAGTTAGCTCCTTCAGTCAATTAACACGATTTGCCTTTGTAGGGCAGTAAACACACGTTAACTTTGTAACAACTTGTGCATGAAATGACCTGCCGCTATGTAACAATCACTAACAACAATGTAACAGCCATGGTTGTCGATTTCGTTAAGTGTCAGGTTTATTCATTTTAGCCAAGGAAGGCTTGTAACAATTCCTTTTGATAGCCTACTAATGCCATGGCATATTCATAACTATATCCATTTTAAAATATAGCAATATCTGGAACGTTTTCATAGCATTCTAGTCTCTTGAGGCAGAGAGATATCGCAGGCACAGTCATGTGTAAATAAACTCATACCCAAGTTGCATCGGAATTTTACGCAGTGGATGGGTTTGGAATAGGATGCCCGACGGTAGGTTTTGTGCGTAAAGTAGGCTACAAATAAATAAATGGCACGACGAGTTTGAATGGAATAGAGACAATAGATTGACTATAAGCAACTGATATCACATATTGGACATGCAACGTGTTTGTAGAGAAAGTTATTGATCTATTAATAATACAGATCTCATCCGATATGCTAATCAAACTTAACACTAGGCTAGGTTTAGACAAACAGATAACGTTAATTGTCAACATGCAAACAAACATGAATTATTACCGAAATGATAAGAGAGATTTGTCTTGGAACGGTGGCATAAAAACACTCCGGTGGCAAAATGTATTCCCGGCACCCGCTCGCAAGCTCTCCAAAGGTGTCCCTGCTCGGTGCTTTGGTACGGTTTATGACAGCCCCAACCTCCAGTCGCTCTTATCCTCAGCGTGCCATCGGTCCTCGGCTCGCCATCTGGCGGCAGGTTCTATCCTCGGAAACTGTTACGTGCAGAGGCTCACATACGCACTCGACCATAGTTTGGTACTGGGGAATTTCAGGGGAGAATGTTTGAGCATGCGTCCACAGCAATTTGGAAGCGTTCCCTCACATCCCTGTCATTATTGGGATCGAAAAATTCCTATATACGTTTTGCTCCAGACACGTGATAAAAATGATGTTACTCCTAAATATTATGAAAAATTAGTCTGTTAGGCATTCCAGAATCCACTAATGTTTACAGTGTGTATTGTGGAGGACCGCTGGTGTTTGGTCCACATCTGAACACTTTTTCATTCAATTAACCTAGACCCAAGCCCTACTGATAAATGTTTTTGTCATTTTATGTTGGCTGATTCTTACTTTAACAGTTTGCCCCTAAAAATTAAATATTTGTATGCAAAGAATTTAAACAATGTAAGCCCTCATAGGCCCTTAGCCTAAAGGCCAGGCTGCAATAGGCACACGAAACTTTATTTATCGATTTGAATTTGTTTACTTTAACAGGCACAGGTATTAAGATCTTTACGGTCTCTATAGACCCCAATTTCACCCCAGTAGTAGGAGGTGGGGTCATTTATCATGTGGTCCTTCCACATTCCAGAAGATTCTCGATCTGCTTCCCAGTTTTTCTAGAGGGAAGCCGGCTGGAGAGAGCTGCAGGGGAGGAGCTTGGAACATACTGCCACATTCAGTCTTATGAATCAAATGGTATTCTCCACTGTTAGCCCTGTGTGCAGAAACAACCAACTATTCATTTGGAATAAAGTACCTTTCTGCATGGTACAGTCAGTGTAAACAAACCCTTGTGTGTGTGTCCACTTTTGTATTGGGAAAAAAACAACTCAATACCCATTCTCCTCTATCCTTGCAGTGACCTGTTTACAGTTTTTAAAACACACTATTGTACCAATTTATGTACACGTTATTACCATGTTATAACAGTTGTTATAACCTACTAAATTAATGATAAACCTCCACAGTGGTGAATCATACATATTTCAGAAGATAGATTGAGATAAATTACACTATTTGTTAGAGTACAGGAACCCTCCTGCATGGGGATGAGGGGTCAAATGGAGTAAACCAGTCACATAAGCAGGTTACTGGCTCCATTTCCTCTGTCTTTCTTTACTCCCTTCAAAGGCCTGGACACAGGTGTAAACGATATGGCAATAATAACCCAACTTTGACCTCGAGGCCCTTTCAACTGGAATTTATGTGTTTCATATACAGAGCATCCTTACTTTGACTGCAACATCTCTAGTAACCACCAGATGACTCTGCTTTCTTCTAAACATAACTGTTCAATAGTTTTATGCTCAGTGATTGGAGAAACATCAGGGAAATATGTTTATATTATTCGTAGCTCTACCAGGTCCCAGACAAAATATTAGAGCCTGAACAAGCTTCTAACCAAGCTTTGAATACACAGATGACCTCTGTAACAGCTGGTATCAGCACTGATGCAAATACATTCACTTCCTCTCCCCTTATCCAATGTAATGCTGCAACATCAGTGTTTCAGTGTTCTGTAAAACATCATCCCTCAAATAACCCTTAATAAAACACGGTCCTAGACCTAGGCCAACAATGACAAAAAAAAAAAACTGCTTAAAGTTATTAAGACCATCAAGGTTAGACAACTCTCCCAATGAGTCTTTAAAAACGCCATTCTTTGAATCACAGTGGGCTCTGTCCACAGTCCACCTCCCTCTCCATGAGTTATGCACAGAAACTGCACTGGGCAAACCACATAACTTCACAGGCGGATGTCATCCAGCGAGGTAAGCCTTCGTCCGAACAGCTGTTCCTCGTAGGTCAACAGCTGCCGCAGGAAGTTCACGTTGGGTGCCGTGCATGCTCTCCTCTCCTTCAGCCAGCGGATGGCGTGTAGCAGTGTCCAGCGCTGGTGCTGCATTAGGAAGGCTAGCGTTAGCGCCGAGCTACGGCTCCGCCCCATGCTGCAGTGCACCAGCACCCGACCCCCAACCTCGCTGCTCAGGGCCCCAGCAATGAACCTTGCCGCCTGCGGCAGCGCCTCCACCAAGTCCTGCTGGGCGTCATCGCTCAGCCGCAGCCTCAGGTAGCTGAGGGTGCTGGGAAATGCATCAGGGCATTCAGCGGTAGCGTTGACCACATGGGTGATGTTAAGGTTCTCGAGGATGTGGTAGTCAGAGGCCTGGGCGGCTGATCCCTGATAGAGCTCCCCCTCCAGTATCTCAGAGGGGTAGATGGTGAGGGCGTATCTCTCAGGCTCTAGGACAACCATGCGGGAGGTGCAGAGGAAGGGGTAGAGGCTGTGGAAGGCACCAAAGCCCCCCTGGAGGATGACAGGGTCCATGCCCAGGTCACTGAGCTGGAAGAAGCAACGCTGCAGGAACGGTGAGGCTGCCCTGGCCTCCACACTGCCAACTGATAAACACACAGACATAAAACAACCACACAGTGATGGTTAGAAGGGTGCTTTTGCGCTGCTGAGGTTGTACAGTGTCTGTGTTGATTGTGTCTTCTGCTCCCTATGTTGTAGCAAAGGAGTGTGCAGTGTATTACCTGGGCTGTGGCCTTCCTCAGCGTACAGCAATATGATAGAGAACTCCTGGAGCTGCACACAGCTGATCAGACAGCCCAGATCTGGGTGGATCACTGTCACACTGGCCCTGGCTGTAACCAGATGACTCTGCTTGTACCTGACAAACAAGGAACACACACACATATCAATACAATGCTTTTACAGTAAGTATTTGTATTTGTATTTATTATGAATACCCATTAGCTGCTGCCAAGGCAGGAGCTAGTCTTCCTGGGGTCTAGCAACATTAAGGCAGTTATACAATTTGAAAAACATTACAATACATTCACAACAGATTTCACAACACATTAAGTGTGTGCCCTCAGGCCCCTACTCTACTACCACATATCTACAACAAGTCTGTGAGGTGTAGTGATCAAGTGGCTACATTGGGGAGTGTGTGGTTTTGTGTTCTGAAGGTGTGTTTTGCGTGAGTGCTCCCACCTCTCTGCACTGCGACAGTCCAGGATGAGGATGTAATTGGGGTCATGTAGAGCGGGATGTCCTGCCTCTGCGTTCAACAGGTTATATACCTGCTGGGGGGTGATGTAGCCTCGCTGCACACTCGCCCTCTCTGGGAAAGCAGGAATGAACACCTCCTGCACCTCACACACTACTGGACAACAGTATGCACACACACATGTACCTATGCTCACACACACACATCAGAGAAAATCATACACACAGAGCCGAAATGCATATTGTGTATGCAAATAATGATTGTGATCGGTAGGGTGATCCTTGTAGATAATGCAGATTGTGGTCCTTTGATCATAAATCCCCTCATGATAACTCCAGTCACAGTTCATGTCTACTTTAAATACACATCTATACTTCATCTTATATCCACTTGATCTAATATGGGCTGCTAACCTACCTTGGGTCTGTCTCTGCACTGGAGTCAGTGTGTGACATTGGGATGATTTGATAGTACCATTGACCTTCCTGTAGGAGACGCTGTTATTTGGTTGCAAGGTGTTGCTGCATTTTCTGGACGGTTCTATACGACAGTTAGTCACTCTGAGACAAATACACAAATACAATACCCAGCATTAACAAAGAACATTGGATGTATTATTTATTCAGCAATATATTTGACCAACATAATTATATTCTTCAGGGATGCATGCACGGCAACCCATATTAGACTACTGACACAAGCTGAGATGCCTATAGCAAGCAGTTAGACAGAACACTCACCTGGACACCACTATGCCCATGTTTCCCAGCGCCAGACATTTGGGAGGCCCAGCTGCTGCCCCTTATGTTCCCTTATCAGGGAGATATCCTTCCATGGTGAGAATAGTTCAAATTTCAGGCAAATCCTTGACCAGCCAACCAAATATATATAAGGTTAAATGTCTGTCAAATTGCCACCAAACTGGTTTGCTTGGCTCCGGTGTAAAATAGTTGTTTTCCTTGCCTTTTTTGTCAGTCACTCTCACACCTCCTTGTCAGGACCTTATTTTAGCGGGTTTCCTTGACGACTTAGCAGTGATAAGTGCTCTAGAATGCCACATGGGTGCTGGCTGTGACAGGTGAGGGAGGAGACTGATAGAAAGAAGAGAACAGCCTTTTGTCTCACTCTGCCATATAGTCAGACCATGAACACCACCCCAAAGCAGGTCTTCCTCATGGACCCCTGTTGTATGACTCCATCCCTCCCAAATCAAATGATTCTATCAATAATTATTCTATATTATTCTACAATCGACAGATCCATTAAACACCTCCAACATGTTCAACAGATATTTAAATTGTTGATATTTTTATGAATACCTATGGCAGTCATAGACACTGAAATATATTAGGGGTGTACAGTGCTTTTTCCACATGTTGTTACATTGAAGCCTTTTATAAAATTGATTTAAAAAATGTTTTTCCTCAGCAATCTACACAGAATTCCCCATAATGACAAAACAAAAACTGGCTTTTAGAAATGTTTGCACATTTATAAAAAATAAAAAACAGAAATATTAAATTTACATAAGTATTCAGACCCTTTACTCAGTACTTTGTTGAAGCACCTTTAGCAGCTATTACAGCCTAGTCTTCTTGGGTATGACGCTACAAGCTTGGTACACCTGTATTTGGGGAGTTTCTCCCATTCTTCTCTCAGATCCTCTCAAACTCTGTCAGGTTGGATGGGGAGCGTCGCTGCACAGCTATTTTCAGGTCTCTCCAGAGATGTTCGATCAGGTTCAAGTCCGGGTTCTGGCTGGGCCACTCAAGGACATTCAGAGACTTGTCCCGAAGCCACTGCTGCGTTGTCTTGGCTGTGTGCTTAGGGTCGTTGTCCTTTTGGAAGGTGAACCTTTGCCCCAGTCTGGAGCATGTTTTCATAAAGGATCTCTCTGTACTTTGCTCCATCCATCTTTCCCTCGATCCTGATTAGTCTCCCAGTCCCTTCCGCTG